GCACTTGATCTTTAGCGAAAGTATTTGTAAACCGCCATGTCATGTTTCGGACGTGATAAAAAAACGTAAAGCTGTCCAAGACATAAGTGATTTACTAGGGCTAGGTATGTATTTTTACGATTTTTATTTCAGTTTTATGTTATTTTAAATATTTATACGTATTTTTTGTTATCGTTTATGAATTGTTTTTATGAAAACTAGATAAAAATTATGTTTTTTTAATGAAAAATTTAATTTAAATACCAAAAACAATCATTCTTTTGGCTTTACTGTAGACGGGTAAAAATGTAATACTTTTTTACTAATAGATTTTACCACAATGATGCCAATCATTGCAATACTACACAGAAATAAAAAAAAACTTAATCTTGTTTCGTTTGTTGTGTGAAAATTGGATAAAGCAACAAGCATACAAAAAATTATATACATTGCATTTTTTATTTGAAAAATCATTTGAATTTAAAATAAATGAATTAAGTTAATTAAGTCTAACAATAAAATAAAATAGAATAAAATTCATATTGAATTATATTAAGGTTAGGCAAAGTATTATAAACTAATAAACCTAGGTACAGTCACTATCGCCTAAAACTTGCACCAAACATCGTATCACGAATTGCTGCGTAATTAATGTCAGAAAAAATATTTTGAAGGCAGGTTTATTTCTGTTCCCTAATTTTGAAACATCGCTGTGATATTGTCTTTGTACTTCAATTGTGACGCAAATTACGGTTATGTTTGTTTGTATTTATATAGTTTATAAAGAATCTAAACTTAATATTATTTTATCTATAATATACTAACCCCTAAAAAAAATTTAAACTTGCTAAAAAAGTTCTGTAAAACTTTACAGGATATTAGAAAAAGAAGGCACAAATTTGGTGAAAGAACGTAAAAACCAATCACTTACACTTTGATTATAACAAGGATTTTCATATCTTCATATCTATAACCTAGTTTGATTCGCAAGAAAGTTGTTTTTCCGAGTTTAACTGAGTAGTATAAGAATATTATTTATACTTTTACTAGTATTATTTATTTTAATAGACCATTTCTAACACTCATGTAATGACATCTTATGTATAAGTAAAGACTTAATAAGATGAAATCAATGTAATGAAACGACAAGTATGTATGTAATTCATGTAATGTTCGTAATATTATAAAACACCATTCAATGACAAACAATTTTCGATATTATAATATCAAATGCCGTAATTATTTTAACAACCATCTTTTACATAACTTATTATTAGAATATATCAATAAGAAGAAACATATGTTATTAAACTGTGTGAAAATGAATGTGTCAAAGAGCACTTTCGCTACATTTTCTTCTGAAAACCTCCTAAGCCTTTAAGCTCTCAGTGTGATGTTGGCTCGCGGCGCGTGCGCATGTCCGAAATAATCGATTGTGCTTCATTCATAGTGGAATGTTATTGAAAATGACTCTCTTTTTGTTTAGCAAAATAGTGTTGTCATAAGTGAATTGAATTTACTTCTTAGTTGTTTTCTAATTGGTGAAATTTTTAACTTTGTGAAAAGTAAAATGACACTCAACAATGCACATCCGCCGTACACTCGGGTTACAAGTAAATTTTTTGGAAAAAAATCTAAGAAAAGTAAGAAATATGTGAAAATGAAAGCTGGGACATACAGTGGTCGTGAACGGTAATTGTTTTTTTATTATTTTATTTAATGCGGTATATGTAAATAGTAAAATTTTGTAATATATACATGCAAATATATGTATATACTAGCGACTCACCCTTGCTGCGCTCGGGTTCGTCCCTAGCTTAATTCCCAATACAAACTTTCCTCCCTATTTTCACCCCCTTAAGGGATGATTTTCGGAATAAAAAGTATTTTTGTCCTTTCCAGGGTCTCAAACTATCTTCTCACCAAATTTTATCTAAATCGGTTCAGTAGATCCAGAGATTACCCCCTACGTCACAAATTCACAAAATTTATCTCTTTATAATATTAGTATAGAAAAACGTTGTTTATTGTACGAGTATGTACATATTTATTTTACTTTTACGAAGTAAATTGTAATCACATCTATAATTTTTATGTTATATACTTAAGGCATATGCCTAAAAATAATTTATAGTTCCGCTATCGTAACTTTCTTTACTTATATATCGCATAATCTTATAAGAACCAACTTGACTTACAAATTCTGAACGTTGTACGTTAATTCAAAATACTACAATTAATTTAAAGTGAGACCGAGTTTCTAAAGAACTTGATCATACACAGGTCAGTTACGTGACCATTGCAACACAGTAATTATCATAAAAAAGACCTCTCTTTCCAAACATGAATAAATCATATAATTTTTATCATACCTCTCTCTAAGATTAGTAGCTAAAACATACATAAGTACACATAAAGACGAATAAGCTATTACATTAATAAAAAGCTTTTTAAAAATTTACTGGAACTTACAAGTCTATCAAGAAGAATATTCTAGTGTTCTATATATTTTTATCACACGATGGGAATCCAGCCTACGTTATATCATGTGCCATGTCTTACACCTGTTACCGAAGCACCGTAACACTAATCATCGATAGTTTTCACTTTTTTACTCTCGGTTTCACTGCAACTGTCACGACTCATATTGCTTAATGCCGAAAACTTGTTTTAGAATCGTTTTCGGCATAAATTAGAATATTAACACGTCCCACTACGAAATATGAAAGAGAATAACTACTTATTATGTATATTTCTAGTTTATATATATATATATATGTACGTAACATATACATATATACATATATATGTATATAACTTAGAAGGAAATGTTTTAGTTTTTTCTATAGCTATATATTACATTGTAAGTACATTTTATGATATAACTTTTTTATACATAGTTATAAATAAATTTAACTTAAGTATGTTTGTTTGTATTGATCTCTTTACTTTTATAACGCTGTTTAATATAAGTAGATTTTTATGTGTATTTGGCTTACGAGTATTAACTTACTATATACTACATTTAATTTTAGTAACTTAGTATACTTATTATTAGTAAAAATAAGTTGAGTGATTGTTAATTTTTAACGTCTCACTGCTGGGGATGGGCCTCCCTTCAATACGAGGGGGATCAGGCCATAGTCCACCATGCTGGCCAAGTGCGGGTTGGCGGACTTCACATGTCTTTTGAAAACTTCCTAGGTTCTCTCAGACATGCAAGTGTCCTCACGATGTTTTCCTTCACCGTTAAGATTGTTTATTAGCAATTACGAAACAAAAGTCTCTCAATAAAACAAGCCTTCTCTAGTTAAGCTTAAGGACTTTCGTGATTTAAGCAAAAGCAGTTGATTTCACGAGAATTTTGCATTAACCTTTTCCCACGGCGTGATATTTTGAAACTCCATCCATATAAGTGTTAATTAATATTTACATACGATAATGATTTTCTTATATTAGAAATTTTTACTTAAGGTTTGAATAAAATTGAATTTTAAACGTGTTTTCTTATTTGTATACTTATGTCGAAACATCAACTAAATATCTGATACCTATTTTATCCAGTTACATTGTATGTATGTATTTAACCCTTCTTAACGTCCCACTGCTGGGCTCGAGTCTCGCTTTTATACGAAAGCCATCAGACCATAGTACAAAGCTAGCCAAATGTGGCAGAGATTCGAAAAATGCCTCTATTAGTTATTCAGGTTTCCTCACGATATTATCCTTCATCGTAAGACAAGTGATAATCATTTTGATAATCATTTAATAATAATATAATTATGATTATATTTTTGATATATGATTAATTACGATAATCATGATTGAAATAATTCGCACATGAAAATATCAGATATGCGAGACCCAGATTCGAACCCGCTTCACTCGGAATCGAGCGAAAGCGTTAACATTGGGCTATCATTGTCTGGGCTATAACGTAACAACATTATGAATATAGTATTTTATTTTATTTAATTTCTATAATCTCCACGCAAATTTCACACAATCTATAGTTTGACACGTAAAAAACTCCATTCAATAACTTCGTTCATCATAAACATCGAAGTTTCAAAAATGACTACTTTATAATCGAATATATTAGATAAACGTGAAGGTAGATTGGTCAGTGCATGTCAAAGAAAGTTTTATGTTCGAGAGTGCTTTATTGCGGGCATTGACCTCAGAATTGCAAATGAACTAAGCTTTGAATGAAATTCGTTTTATCAATACTTTATATTGTGTATAAATAAATAAATAAAATAAAATAACATTTTGGTAATTTTATGTTTATTTATATTAATTTTATTGTACACACAAGTCTCTCCCGTGACCATGATTGCTGTAAAGCATTCGAAACGTCGGGAACCAAAAATCAAAATAAATCCACGAAATAATCCAAAAAGATAGTTTTATTTAAAATATCAAATATTCGCGTAAATCTAAGAAAGTGTTATATAATAATAATAATTAATCAAATGTACTCGTATATGAGACTGGTTTTGGAAAGTTCGAGTTGTACTTAAATAGGCTCTATGATCTTTGAAACTCGAATTTCTCCAGAATGTGGCAAGTGTTTTTTCCATCTATCATTTTACATCCATGCAAAATTTTAAACTTTAGAAGGAGTCGGGATTTAAGTCCAATACATAGGAGCCCTGTAGAAGCTTAATTTGTTTAAAGTGACGTGACAAACGAGTTCATTTTCTTAAATGAAATTATTTTTTTTCACATTATTGAGTATTACTTAGTCTGGAGTCAAAATCTGGACTACTGAATAAAACCTCACGTAGGTACATTTCAACAGCGTTAACGTTGAAAATTTTAGTTACTCACCCTTAATGGGCCTTTAATCTTATTTCAAAAACACAAATCAGAATGCCGTCCTTTAATAGGACTAATAAAAAAATATTATTTGTGTCCTTATTTTAAGTACGAATAGCAACAATCAATACAAATTGAGAGACTAAATATTATTTTTAAACTAATATTATATTTTTTTCTTCCGCAGTGCTAATACGGCAATGGATAATGACGTGACGCCGGTGTATCTCGCGGCGCAAGAGGGGCACTTGGCGGTACTAAAGTATCTAGTCCTAGAAGCTGGGGGCAGGCTCGACGCTCGCGCTCGAGATGGGATGCTGCCCATACACGCTGCAGCACAAACTGGCTGCCTGGATTGTGTTAAGTGGATGGTATGTGAGATATTTATTAAATAAATATGTTTTTATTTTATAAAGCACACTAACAATACACACATAAAACATTTCTGATAATAAATAATTAAGTAAGAATATAAATTAAGTACTTGATATGTATATCTATTACAAGTGTACATAGCGTTCACTGTAAACAATAGTTAAAAAGTAATAAAAGTTAAAAATTAATTCTGACATTAACACACGAGTGACTTCATGATTGATGAATGTGATGATGAAATTCCAGCCAAATCCATCGAGCCATTGCAATGTGAAGAAGTAATAAAAAGTAATAGTAATATTAATAAACCCTTTATTGTACACCCAAAAAGAAAAGAAACTATACAAAGTATAGGAGAACGTATAAGAGATGGCCTTATCGCCAAAAGAGCGTTTTGTTCCAGACAACCTAACAATAAGATAGAAGGGGCGCGTCGCGCGAATCTATACTAATATTATAAAGAGTTTGTGAGTTTGTGACGTTGTAGGGGGTAATCTCTGGATCTACTGAACCGATTTAGATGAAATTTGGTAAGGATATAGTTTGAGAACCTGGGAAGGACATAGAATATTATTTATCCCGGAAATCATCAATTAAGGGAGTGAAAATGGGGATGAAAATTGTGTTGAGTTGCTTGTAAGTCGAGTTACTCGTGAGTCACTAGTAATTGGTAAAGTTTGTATGTGTATAGGTATGTTTAAGTGTGTTTGTTACTCCTTCACGCTGTAACGGCTAGATAGATTCGGATGAAATTTTGTACACCGATAGACTATGATCTTGAGTATAGATACTGTTAGGTACTTAAGGACGCATCTAAACAAAGCAAGGGAAAGTCAACTAGTATACTCTAAAGCGAGTGATAGAGAATAAATTTACATATTCAGAGTTGCAGACTTGATCCGAATTCTTATTTCTTAATTCCAAAATATATACTTAGTTACAGTAGAATATATGTATTATTCGTGTTATGACTGTATTTATATCGAAACTTTGATGCAAGTTATTACGGTATAAACACTATTTTACTTCCAAATTGTACACGTTGAAATAGTACTTATGCAGATAATCATATGAAATAAGCAGTGTTACAATACGATTGAGCTTTTTAAAGCTTCCTTTTTGTTGTAACTTTCATTCAAATACTGTTATTTTGTTGTTGAGTCTAGCCGAGATTACTTAAAACTTATATTGTAATCATGAATTTGTTAGTACGTTAAAGTTAAAGCCTTTCGAATTATGACACGGGGGAGGGAGGTATGTAAGAAGGTTTGGGTGTGTTTCTTATTTATTCTATTTTTGTTTAGTTAAGCAAATTCATAGTGATCGTTTTCAAAATAATTATTGGAAAATTATAATCATTGTAAAAAATAACTTGAACGTATAACAAACATATACATATAAGACTAGGGACTCAATCTCGCTCCGTCCCTTAGTACGTTTTAACGGTTAGTACAGATTTCTCAGGGATGAGATATTTTCCCGTATCCTATATGTTGACCCGGATAACCAGCTATCATCATACCAAATTTCATCAAAATTTGTCCAGTGGTTTTTTCGCGATGCGTTCCCAGACAGACGTACAGACAAACAAAATTCTGAAAACTATAGATTCATCTATAATAATGACTATTTCAATAAGATTTTCCAAAAAATCTTTTATCTAGTTAACAAATTAATACATTAATGACATGTACGAGTAGAATAAGTCATGAGTTAAATAAGACAATGTGTTAATTCGTTAAGTTTTGACTCATAAATATTCTCCCACGTTACTTTATTGCAACATTTAGAGCATTTCCTTCCTGTCTGAAGTCAATCTAATAACGCTATACTAAAAAGCTCGGTTTCATTTCCATACGTTATGTAAGCAAAGATAATATATTTTTTACGATGACAGTACAATTACAGTTATATAAAAGTAATTCATAAGAGAAAATCCTCTAATTATAAGTCAATAACTTTCCACTATCAATCACAAAACGGGAAACGGCTCTGCACGCATTTAACTAACCGTGATTTGTCTAATAAATATAAGCTGAAATAATGTCTTGCTATAGACGCGCTTATTAAAACTTAGAAATTATTGTTTTTATTATAATTTATCACATATCACGCTTCTATATGTACTTTAATATTATAAATACGAAAATAACTCTGTCTGTCTGTTTTTATTGGTACCTTTTCACGCTTAAACCGCTGAACCGATTTAGGTGAAATTTGGTAATGAGATAGTTTGGGACCCTGGGAAGGACCTTTTTATTCCGGAAATTATTTAATTTAATTATATAATTTGTATAGGGAATCTATAATTGCTCAAGTATAAATGTATATAAAACTCGTCATACTCATGTATATAATATAGTCTATCTATTCCATACAAACCGTTAAAATATATAAATGTAAAAGTTTGTATGTTTGTACGTTCTTGACGCTGAAAGGTCTAGACGGATTTTGATGAAATTTAGTGCATAGTTATCTATCTAATGCTAATGAAACCTAGTAGCCTATGTGTTAGTCCAGATGATGCCTATTTACATTGGACTAACACATAGGCTACTACTTAGGCACCTAGTCTGTAATATAACTGCTATCACTAGTTTATAATATAAATATTACATAAGAATTATTATAAAAGAAGAAAATGTTTAGACAACACTTAATTTGGACCGTTTTAAAATTATTTCTTCCATATCAGATTAGGGTTTAAATAAAACAAAGATTTTTAATTGAAATGAAAGTTATTGTAATTTTTTTATTAATTTTTGATAAAAAGTGCACGTTTCACACATTTTAATATTAAATTATTGCGATCAATCAAAAAAGTACTAGGTACACAAACAGCGACAAAAAATGTCCCCACCAAATGAGCGCCCACTTGAACATTTGGGTGCTCTTTTAATTTAGTAGCAAACAACTTTAAGCATTGCGTTTAAGGTTTAATTTACATTGCTGTATATTTATTTCAACTAGAATAATTACTTGAACACAATTGGTGACAGTTTTAAGAGAACTTTTGCATGGGATTGTGTATTTAGCACTTTTTTGGTCGATGATTATAACAGTAGCAATGTAATATCGTAAAAAAACTAGATTAACACATTTATTACATAAGTAGATTTTTTTCTAAAAGGATTTCCTCCTTTCAAGCTACATAACTTTAAGCTCATGGACTGTTATAGGAAGTACTTATCATTGACATCCGTACAGAAATTGCAATCTAATTTTCAAACATTACATTTAAATAATCTGAATATTCAGAAAGTCTGGAAAATTTTGCATCTGTGATTTATACACGTATAAATATAAGTGTAGCATGTAATACATAAAGTAAAATGACAACATAATATGTAATAGTTGGTGTAAGCTTTCTATTAGACTAGCCACGAGATAGATTGGTTTACTCAAAACAATCAAAATTAAAAAAAAATTATTAACTTTTGGTTGGTATAAAAATAATATGATGAAATACTTTTTGAAGTAAAAAAAAAATATTTACGAAAGGCGAAATCAAAATTTTACAATTAGGTGTATTTATCTTTATTATTATTTAACATATGTGTGTGTGCACATATTATTATTTTTACATAATAAAGTTATGTTTTATTAAGTTTAAACCAACTGATGTACTGGAATATAGGATACCGTATTAAACTTAACTATCTACGCTGTGACCCAAATACTGTGATCGATACCTAACATATGAAAAAATGCATTATCTTATAATTTTTAGTAATAAATACAAATGTTGTTGGTTGAATTTTATAATTATATTAATTTTTATAGTTTAGTAAATATTGTGAGGCTCACATTAGAAGTACTCTGTTTGAAGTCTATATATTGATCTAGGATGTGAACTATCCCCATTCCGACTTTCACTCAAATCTGTTGTGCCTTTATAATGTGAAAAAATAAATAAAACACATTCTCACGAACTTTATCATTTATAATATTACTAGCATTTACTCACAACGTAGAATTTGTATTTTTAAAATTTAGAATGTCCAACCCTTTTTTACCCCTTTAGGGGTTGAATTTTGTAATTAATTAATTTAGTGCTATTTTGCTTTTATATATACAAATATAGATTATGAAACTAAAGAAAATACTTATCGTTTATAGATAGTTGAGCGTGGTGTAGACCCAAATGCGAGAGATGGAGATGGGGCCACCCCGCTACACTTCGCAGCATCCCGTGGTCATCTGTCCACTGTACGTTGGTTGTTGCGTCATGGAGCTAGACTACACTTGGATAGACACGGCAAAAGTCCTATAAACGATGCCGCTGAAAATCATCATTTAGAAGTAAGTTTTGTTTGATCCATTTATGTTTTTACTTTCTCTTCTTATTATATACATAAAAACCAAAAAAATGTAGAAAATGCATGGTTGTAATTATCATAGCTGTAAGTTTTCCCGGCCTGATTGGAACAAAAAGCAGCATTCAGATCTACGACAGATTTATTTTATAACCAAAGAGTTTCAGACCAAAAAAAAAAAACGACTTCCAGGCACTAAAATGTAAAAAAAACTCAACGGGGGTTGTCATTTAGAATAGATAGATACCTAATCAGATATTTTCGAATTCGGTGCCAGCCGACAATATTTTAAGATATGAATATCTAATAGATAAATATGTATTTTACGTATCGAAATATATTAGATTTGCTTTGCATCGGCTGGCACCGACTTCGAAAATATTTGATAAGGTATCTATTCTAAATGAAAACTCCAGTTTAGTTATTTTTAACATTTTAGTGCCTGGAAGTCGGTTTTTTTTAAGTTTTTATAAAAAAATATTACTTAAATACACTATCTAGTGTGAAAACACCTTTACAATGCTATTGTTTTATTAAAATGCTCATGCATTTATAAGCATATTAAATTCATATCATTTGTGTATGGAGGCGAAAACAATAGATTTACTTGGAAAGTGTATCGCTCGAAGTCGTTAACGTTATTTGGATACGTAATTGCGCACGCGCTTAAGATTTCTCTTCGGTGTATTCAGAGGCCCTTGTTGTAGTTGAATTTCTATATGAAATATTCATTATTAATTATTGCTTTTCGTCTTTGGATTATTATTATAAATGCGAAAGTTTGTATGTATGTACGAGTATGTGTATGTGCGTGCGTGTGTGTGTGTATGTATGTGTGTGTGTGTTTGTGATTATTCCTTCCTGCTGAAATTTCTGGTTGGATTTGGATGAAAATTAGTTGGTACACAGATAGATTATAGCTAAAGCCTAGGAGTACTACAGGAGCTAGTGTTAGTCATATAGGGACGCACTCGAGCGAAGCCAGACTAAGTAATTAATAGCTTCTTCGTTTGACGAAGTAACTCTACATATCTGTAAATATAAAACACTAACAAATAGCTGTTACTGTATATATCAGATTAAGTTAAATACAGTTTTTTTTAAATCTATATATTTTTTATTACTAATATTCTTTTCAATTTAATTTCCTTTGTGTTAACCCCAGAAGATTCACAGAAGGAAGAAAATCTTTTATATCATAAAGCCATCACCAAACAAACAAACAACAAAATCGAAATTGATACATACCGTCATGAGGTTAAAAAAATATGAAAATTTACTTTTAACCAATTTAAACTACCTTATACTTAACATTGAACCGGTCAGTTTCTAACGTGTCGTAAAATGTATTGAACATTGTTATGGCGTTTCTTATTCGGGAGGTCAAAAGTAAAAATAAAGTTACAAATTCTATTATACTTATTATTACTCGTTTTAAACTATGAAAGTTAAGTTAGTTCACACTTCAATAAATCTATCAATGCTAGACTCTCAGAAGCTCTTGTTAATTGGCATAATAAATTATTTTATATGGGAAAGTGTACATTTTATATCTATTTTTTATTCTTACTAAATTTAATTTAATGGAGCTCTAATAAAGTCGATACTTGTCTCTTATACTTAGAAACTTTTGAGTAAAACTTTCGAAGAGAAGTAAAAAAATGTATGAGAAAACGAAGTTTTACCCTGCTACCTTTAAAACGTTATTTATATGACTAAGTTAAACGTGTAATATTATAAATGTGAAAGTTTGTGAGTATGGATGTTTGTTACTGTTTCACATCAGAACAGCTCAACGGATCTGGGAGAAATTTGGCACGGAGATAGATTATAGTCTGGAATAACACATAGGCAAGTTTTTATACCGGAAAAATGTATGGTTCCCATGGGATAGGTTTGTTTGTGTCTTTTTATATATAAATCATATATAAAATACCTAATAAATAATATAATTATAAAATAAAATATATATATATATATATATGTACGCTGTACATGTTTTTTTGAAATAGTGTTAGAAATAAATTATAGCATAGGTGAAAGTATTGCATGTTCTTCAAACATCATCACTAAATTAAATGATGGATTAAATGAATTATATCGTGACTTACCTCAGAATTGAATGTTAGTATCGCATTTTTTTAAAACTCCATTAGCACTTTGCAAATTAATGTTTCCATGTTAAAAAATTAAAACGTGGTGTTGAATATTTACTACACACTAAATCCTTATTCGTAGATGTCATATATTTTTGTACAGCATAAATCTAAATAATAATCTTTACATATTAATTAATAAAATTTACAAAGAAATGGTTTTTCGAATATATTTTATAAGCATTTTAGGGTGTAATTAAATATATGTATATAATGAAAAAAAAATATTGTCCGTCAGCTTAGCCTGCATTGTGTGGACTGGACTTTATATATTAAAATTGCCTAAATTAAAAACATAGCTAAAATGTAGACTATATCGCAGGTAGTTAGTAATATGAAAATCTACACTGGCATTTAATATTGTAGATATTTTTATGTTACAAATTATCTTCATTTGCATGTCACGAGTACACAGATCTATACTTCACTATTAAAACTTATCTAAATTAATATTCTATAAACACTTATATACGTACTAAGTAGAATTTTATTTTCCATTTTTAACCTTCAAAAAAAAAATTAAAAAAAAATTGTAGGCATAATATTAATTGTTCTAGAATTTACTCATGTGCGGGATTATTATTAAGTATATTATATTAAAAATACTGCCACTTGTTTAGTTTACTGTACGCAGATTCCTCACGGACTGACTAAACAAATTTTAAATTAACTATTTAAAAGAGCTTGTAAAACTTTCATTGAAAAAGTTTTCAATAATTGAATTGAAATAATTTAATTTTATTTCATTTGTACTTTTGTACATTATTTCATTTAATTAGTAATTAAATTTAATTATTTTGCAACAACAGTACCTACATAAGTAAACATAGCATGCATCCTCTGACCAGTGGCTTGAATCAATCGGGCTAATGATATTCGATTTGCTTCATTTCACATCGATAACCGTTGCGAATAGCGAATCGCCATAGCGTCCAGTAATTAGAAAATGCTGCAAAATAGCGGTGAATAGCTTTATAATTTGTTATATTTTATGTTACTTGGTCCAACTTATGCTGTAATGTACCAACTCTATGTGAGTATTCAAAAATAATATTGATGAAATGAATTTTCTATTTTTCTTCATATTTTTCTAAATATCAGATAGATTCATTATTATATATATGTGTATTGTATAGGTAATGAATCCTACAAATATATTTGTATTCTTGTATTCAACCCTTTTTGTAAAGTCCCACTGCTGGGGGTGGGCCTCCCTTTAATACGAGGGGATCAGGCCATAGTCCATCACGCTGACCAAGTGCAGGTTGAAGGACTTCACATGTCTTTCAAAAAAGTTTTCTCAGACACACAGGTTTCCTCACTTTGTTTTCCTTCACGGTAAGGCAAGTGGTATTCACGTTAGAAATGATTCGCACATGAAAATATCAGAGGTGGGATTTGAACCCGCTTCACTCGGTTTCCCGAGCGAGCGCGTTACCACTGGTCTACCACTGCCTTTATACTATATTCAAATAATTAATTCGATGTCATATTATTCGTTAGTATAATTTACTTTAATTATTAACTTGGCTCATTTTTGCATAACTAAGCCCCATATCCAACCCTCAGTTGTAATTGTCATGAAATGGAAACCTTAAACTGAAAAATTTACATAATCTATTAAGTTTTATATTAATAGATATGCGATTATACTTGTAGCTTGGATCTTGGTCGCGGCATTGCTACTTGCTAGAAATTTCGCTACACAGTTCTTTGTTTACTCTGGAAGCGAAAATACGTAAAGTTCAAAAACATTTTATTTATAAGATGTCCATATAAATAAATTTTAATTTATCATAAAATTTTCAAAGAATTACTAATTTAAATTATTATATAATGTATTAATGTGCGAAGGTCATGGGATGATGTGTTTCCGGTCTTTTTTTGTTAGGTCAAAAACCAATGTTACAGAGTAACAATTAAAACTAAATTAGCGCATTTCCGTCTTTTGTGAGAACTAGTGCTTTTAATTTGACAATTTTTTGTATTTCCATACAATATTAATGTATGATGTATTATAAAAAAGGTAGATAAAGTGTTAAGACTTGGGGGATTCTTCAAGATGTCACTCTACAATCTTTGAAGGATAGAATTCTGAAAAAATATATAGAAATAATAGCGGTTCACCGTCGCGTCGCTCCGCTCGGGTTCGTCGCTAGGTACGTTTTAAAAGCCAACGTTAGCCATACAAATTTAATTATTTTTTTCGTGAATTTTTCTGATGTTTTAATGGTTATTCTGCTATTCGGGGTGGAGACAAATCCAACAAATCAAAGATCATAGAAATCGGTCCAACGGTTCGGGAGTTATAAATGGTGTAACTAGTCCGACTTTGTTTTATAAATATAATATATAGATGCACATATATAGCGTGTATGTTAGTTACAGCCAGCAGTAACGAATCAACATATTATTACTTAGACTTTTTTATTGATATACTTGTACCTTTAACACGCGAAGACCAACGTGCGATAACTAGTATTTAATAAAAAAAATAATGTGTATGCAATTTATTTCCAGTGTCTCAACGTATTGGTGGCAGCGGGCGCGGCGGGCGCAGATAACAAACAACTCGCCACGTACAAAGCGGTACACTCCTGCGCTTGTGCTCCGGGAGAGGCTCGGGTAAATACAAAAGTTATTTAAAAAAAAATCTTTTCTGAATTTTTTCGCCGATTTATTGTGATTTTTGGTTACTAACGTTTCGAATTCTTTACAACAATCATGGACACGGGAGAGACAGTCTTGAAAAATCTGTAATTTTATAATGGTAAATATTCGTTATTAATATTTAGCATATTTAAAAATCGCATAAAATAAAAACAAGCCTACATAAAAATAAAATAATCAAACAAACAGAAAAAAATGTGTGTGTCCAATTCACACATGGTATGGAACCTTAGTATTATATATTTGTTAGACAATAACAACGGTTTTCATGGCAACATAGCATTGTATTCTATCTCATTCACTCGCCGATTTAATCCTATATATTTATGTGTTTGTCTCTTTTTAGTGTCGCATTTTCGTTTCATCGAGTTTCAAATCACAAATAATCAATTCATGTTATATTCAACAGTGCGCCCTGACAAACTGCATTAACGCAAACGGGACACGATCCCCGTTCTACCTTCACGCCCCGGAACGTGAAAGACAAACAAACTCTCACGAGCGAAGAGGTTCCCTCTCCTCAACAGTGGGGTCCATCAGCTCGGCGCGGTCGGGGCCGGCGGACGGCCTGTACGTGAACCCCATGCAGAGAACCACGAGTGCCACACACCATAGCTCGTCGGGGGAAGAAAGTTCCGGTAAGTTCCATTGTTTCATATATATGTGGTTTAGTGGAAGTGGGGTTCCACGGGGTACACAGATGGGTTTAACGGAAGTAGGGTTTAGGTTTGCACGATTAGATTCAATAGAGGCAGGGGTTCCAGGGGTAACTAGTTTTGTTTATTGGACGCGAGGTTCCATCAGGTGTACAAATGTACGTTTCAGTGTGCAAGTTTCAGTGATCCTACCTGGTTGCAGTTGTAAGTTATACTTATTTATGTATATTATAAATTCGAAAATGGTAGTAACTGAGTAGGTTACTTCTCGGTTCTGTTACGGCTCCAAGAATTTGTGTTAAATTCGAAATTCTGCAGAAAACTAAGCGTGAATATTGTAGATCTTGGAGAGAAGAAAAATCTACTTGCGTGTTTCCAAAAGATTTCTATATTCCTTTTCGTTTCGCTAAAATTCTCCCAATAGTAAGTACACTATGGAAAGTTCTAGATCTTAGGGTCCTAATAATAGTTTGCACCTAAACTTTATACGATATCATAAGCGGCGGATGTGTAAATGATTACTGCTCTAGCTAGTTTTGTTTTTTTAAGGTTTTGGCTTCTTACTATAATAACTACAGAATTATTTACAACAAGTGACTCACCCTCGCTTCGATCGGGTTCGTCCCTAGATGCGTTTTTATTTTGAGCGGAACCCCAATTCTGTTTCTAAAATAAAAGTAACCTATGTTACTACCATCATTCTTCCAGTGAAAGTCGATTCAGAGATTATCCGGAATAAACAGGCAGACAGACAAAAATTAAAAAAAAAATGTTTTTCTTATAATTACCGTATATAATTTCATAAGCATTTAGTAAAACGCTACAAAGAGACACTTTAATTTTATTTATCTGTATAGATACGATATAATTAGTATGTGTTAACGTTAGGCCAAAATATTCTAATTAAGCTATCTGTTGTTTATAATACTACATTTCCCTTAATTATTCTAATTTATGCATAACGTAATAGAAGGCACGATCTGTCGGTACTATGATATTTTCTTTATTCAAATCCAATTTCCTTGTAAATGGCTTCAAAGCGTGCCAGATTTTTCAAATTATAATATTTGAAAAATCATTAAAATAATTTCAAAGTATCTGACTTAGTTGTTAAAAAAATTAAAAAATATTTTTTTATAATAAAAATATTATTGAGATAAATTGTTTCTTGTGAATTACGCCTAATGTAGTATGAATTAGCGAAACTAATAACAAAATCACAAAGGAAGCACAGTGTAATGAGGTGGAAAATTCAGGAAATATGCTGTAAATGCTTTAGGCGTGTTTAGTTGCGTATATTTCACCAAACAGATAACGTTAAGTTAAAAAATATATATTTTTAAATAATTTATGTAAAACAAATACATTTGTAATCAAATATATTTACTTCCGGCTATGTTAGTGAAAAAGTTTGGAAATGTTACTGCAAATTGTAATTGAATAAAATGTACCTAGACGTTAGTGTTGTTTTAAAAAAAATTGAAATGTCGATGTTGTGTTCTGGCTTAAAAGGTGAGTAGCGTGATTAAAGAAGGAATTATGGTTTTAAAATACTATGGAACACTATTTAAAATACTATGGAACACTATTTAAAATACTATGGAACACTATTTAAAATACTATAGAACATACTTAACCAACTATATCTGGGACTGGTCAAAACAAAAATAGAGTTTAAACTCTACAATTTAACTTATAGCAATTGAAAGGATCAACTATCCACTTTCTGATTCTAAAATCAGTTCGGCATATTGTTGTTCAGATTTCATATAATAGCAAAGTTTCAAATTGATAGAACACTAAGAAAATATCAAAATCGACTTCCAAATTTCAAACTTACATTTTAAACTAATGATTTCATAATTACTTTAAATAAAGTATAATTAAAAAATCTATCCTGCCCTCAGGATAGATAGATTTTTCTTGAAATTTATACAAAACCGCACTTGACCTGTTTATTAAAAAATATCATGAAAATTCACGATTAATTAGCGAAAATATCTCAAAGAAATAGATATCGAAATTAAAAGCTTTTTCTTATTATTAAGCCGTTCAGAAATGTGTAACTATATAAATGTATGGAATTTTAATATACATAAAATTATATCACTTTCCGACTGTTCTTATTTTTATGCAACACGTCTTATGTAACGATACACTGTACCGTTCAGATTTAAAAGTTTAATTGAATTCTTCTATCTATACATATAATAAAATTCTGAGTCGAATCTGTACATTAAATATTTTTTGGAAAATCTTGAAAAAGACATTATTATCGATACAGAACAATAGACACAGTTTTTAGAATGTTTGTCTGTCTGTCTATCTGGAAACGCACCACGAGAAAACCACTGGACAGATTTTGATGTGGTATGATTATAGCTAGTCATCCGAGTCAACATATAGGATACTTTTTACTGCGAGAAAATATCTCATCTCTGAGAAATCTATACTAAACGTTAAAAAGTAAATAGGGCTAGTTTATAAATACTTTTAATTAAAAAATAGAAGACACATGAAAGACAACATAAGTGTTATTATAGTTAATTACGTATTAAACAATATGCAAAACACAAATATCATGGATTGGATTCAATTAAGTGCAAATATACACTATAATTGTAAAATCAAATCGTACTAGCAATTATTCCATATATGAGAAGTAGGGAAAATTAATAGAATAATAAAACAATAAACATAAGGAAATACTGCGTTTAACGAATAAGCTAAGATCTGGGTGAAAAGCCATTATTATACTTAAACAATTATTGCAAAAAGGATGTGATATAATATACTGACATGCTATTTTTTCATTTACTTATCACGTGTATTCAGCCCTTTTTAACGTCCCACTGCTGGGCACGGGCCTCCCTTCAATACGAGGGGAATCAGGCCATAGTCCACCACGCTTGCCAAGTGCGGGTTGGCGGACTTCACATGTGTTTCGATAACTTGCTAGATTCTCTCAGATATTCAGGTTTCCTCAAGATGTTTTTCTTCACCTTATCACATAATATAAATAAATGTTATTTAAATTGTATTTTTATTTCTTTCTATAAAAATAGAAAGAAAAAAATATCTATAATATAACATCTATAAACCGCAATGGTTTATCCCGATGTTACAACTATTTTACGTTACTAAATACAGTTTATTATTAGTTGACATTAAAGTAAAAAAAATATTTTTTTACTAATATTGTAAATGCCAAAGCGTGTTAGTTGATGTCATCACTCGCAGCAACAGGCCATTGATATTTATGTATATTTCGAATTTCCGTTTAAATTTTGAAAATCAATCTTATGTGGGTCCGTCTCTGATGTATAAACTATTCATTTAAACAAACACGAAAATTGGTACGATGATGTGGATATGATGGTGGATACAATTGGTGAAGCAATGAAATAGCATAACCTACATAAAAATAACATAGACCCTAATAGAGTATTTGTCCTCTTTGAAGTTGGTCATTAGACACATAAACACAGTACAAAATATCACGATAGCATAATTCACTTAAATAAAAACTACATACTAAGATTTGAGATCCACTTCTAATGACCTAATCCTCCAGGGTGCTCAGCATCTGAAGCAGAAACGAACAGTGGGGGCTGGTTCCTCCACAACAGCAACTCTAACGCTCCAGCGGCTCTGTACCAGCGAGTGAGGGATCTGTTCCACTCGCGGTCTCCGGGCCCGAGGGTCCCAGCTGAGGGACAGGAAGCACCATTAATGACTGGTAAGTGGGTGGTATTTTGATCAACCGTAGCTATTGAGACAAGACAATAACATTTTGTATATACGTTGAATTTTGTTTTGGTCCAATAAGAGGTTTTTGGTTTTTGTCGTTAAACAAAATATTTTAATCATGGGGTAATTGATAAATGGTTTTATTCAGTTTTTAATGACTATAAATGCTTTGGGAATTAACATGCAGTATTTTGGAATTAATTTGATAGTCGAAGCTTGAGGTGGGAGCTTCAAAAACTTTTTATAATTTCATTAGCTGTTTATATTGCTTAATTGTATGTGTGTTTTGAGCGTAATATGTTGTAAAGTCTGAAAGATTATTCCAATAATCAACAAAAACAAGAGTGGTATCAACGGATAAGCATTTACATTATATTTATCTAATAGTAAAAGCAGAAATCCATGGAACAACAGAAGTGACACCAGCGCAAGAGAACTCGGACAGCGACAGCGGCGCTGAGGCCACGCGCCGCGACCATCACTATGAAGACATTTACTTGCCACGAGAGGAACATCAAAGACGAAGGTAATATTTACTTTATAATAAAGCTTTTAATTTAGAGGCAGTGGTACCCCAGTGGTAACGCGCTCGCTTGAGAAACCTAGTGAAGCGAACGTTCAAATCCCGGGTCTCGCACCTCTGTTATTTTCATGTGCTAATCATTTTTAACATTATTACCACTTGTCTTACGGTGAAGGAAAACATCGTGAAGAACATGGCAAGTTTTCGAAAGACATGCTCAGTCAGCCCGCACTTGGCCAGCGTGGTGGACTATGGCCTGATCCCCCTCGTATTGAAGGGAGGCCCGTGCCCAGCAGTGGGACGTTAAAAAAGGTTGAATACAATAAAACATTATTATCTTTATTTGTCTATTTTAATCGAATACGTGTTGGAGTGGACACCACGCTTAGACAAACGTAGTGTAGAACGACCTACAGCATGGTGGTCGGACCACGTGGTGGTCGGACGTCTTGAAAAAGGTAGCAAGTACGGGACGGTTGGGGTTCTTTGTGGGTGTAGTTTTTGTCTAACAGTAGACGGCGATAAGCTGAAAAAAATCGGCCTACCATAATGAATGCGAAAGTTTCTATGTGTGTACTCCTTAACGCTGAAATGGCTGGATTGTTTTAGATGAAATTTAGAACACATAAACTTTGACCTGGAGTTACTGACATGTGACTGTGAGCGCTACACGCTCTCCACTATGCGACAATATTATAAGATATAAATTTCATATTCATTATATTTGTATAGGAGCAGTTCCCGGGACTCCGGCAGCCACAGCCGGCCCGGCAGCGCTGCCCTGCTCGTTGACTACGGCACCAAAGAGAACAACGACGCGTAAGTTACTTACAAGTACAAGACACTTACGAGTATACTTTGTAATATAACAATTAAAATGTACTAAAACTCCATTCAAGAATCAAAATATACTTTATTCAATTTTTTTTTACTTTTACAAGCACTTTTAAATGATTAATTTTTATATATTTAATCCTGAAAACAAAAACCAGCCTGGGAAAGATAAGATCCTACATCAATTTTACGAATATATTAAAAGTTAATCATGTTATTTTTTATGTTTGTGTGTTTAGATCAAACAAAGCATACGAAGAAGTGTCTCCACCGTCAGACACACAGACAAAATCGACACTCGCAACCAAACTAGCCGCGCTCACACACAAGGCACAGAACTTTGTAAGTTTACTTTTTATATATGTATATAATATGATATTGGAAAAACCATAATAAATATGATAGTTTCTATGTGTGAAAAAATGTTAAAATGGCTGGACCGGTTTTGGTAAAATTAAGTACACACATAGCCAATGTAGGTGTCTAAGGAGCCATTATTAGCTCCTGTATTAAAAAGAAATATTTCGATGAAAGAACTTTTGTTTTTGGTATAAAATAACTTCAATACCCAAAAAGTATATTAAAGTATTACCCGCAACATTACGCATTAATAATATTGTTATTAATTATTTTTTGTTATGTATGTAACATTATTTTAAATATAAATCTTTATATCAATCAGGCAAGTCGCATATCATCAGCTGCGGGCAGCCGTAGGGCATCCGTCACTGAGGAACCGATTACAGTTCAAGCCTCTGCATCATCAGGAGTCTCTTCAGCAGGATCCTCGGGGGGATGTTCAGGGGATGAAGCACCGCCTCCACCACCTCCACCACCACCACCAGTAGTATTGGAGGAACCGGCTTTGAAACCCTCGGAACTAAAGAGTAGACTTGGTAAGTAATTTTTTTTTTGGTTTTCTCCATTGTTAACTTTAATAAACTCGAACTCAAAATATGTATTTTTAAAAGGCTCTCTAAATTAGCAATCTTAATTTTACAATCTCATAAAAATTAAATGTGCTGTTAGTTTGTGTATAAAGCTCTGGTCCTAAAGCTTGTAGTGTGAAATACGTAAATATCCTATAATGAAAAAGAGAAATCAAATTGAACTGGTGGTTCCAGTGATTAGAGCGGTCAGACAAACAAAAATACTCTAGCTATGTAACTTATAGACTATAGATCATATTTATCAGGAAAAAAATATATAGTTCAAAATAATCCCAATAGATGGCGTCACATGTATTGGTTATTTATATTCATGTAAATCTAAATATGAAATTGATCCACAAAAGTATATGCTGGTTTTAAACAACACTCAAGTATATAGAAATGAAATTTACTCAAATTGAATTTATTATACTAATAATAATTGAAAAATCAGCCATTATGTAATGAATTTGTACTGCGCTATATAATATGGTACTGTTTACATCGTATTAGTGGTTTCTCACGGCTAAAAAATTAGCCATTTGTGGTTTAGATATTACGTTTAGAAAGATTCGGTAAGACCATAAAAAGTCGCGAAGATACTATAGGGAGGAAATTTACAATAATACCTATACTTTGTCATTTTTAACATTAAAATTAATCGAAATTATTTGAATAATAATTTCTATAAGATATTACGTAGGTTATAAAACTTCTCTAAAACATTTCATAGGTTATATCCTTGTTCCGTGAATACTAAAATTAATAATTTTATTGTACATATAAAAAGAGAGTTTCATTTTTCTTCTTTCTCACTTCTATCAACTGTTTAGTTCAAATTTGTTTAGTTAAATATAAGTAGCTGAGCGAACAAGCTTTACACGGCGTTTTTTATTTGTGGAAAATATAAAAATTGCGTTTATTTCAAAAGAATCACTTTCGTAAATAAAGATAAACTTAAAAAGCAAAACTTTAAGAAGTTTCCGAAATACATGTATGTACAAGAATTGCTCATTTAAAATTATAAGATACTAGCGTCTCACCCTCGCTCTCTACTTACGTTTTAACGTTTAGTATAGAGAATTAGATATGTTCCCGCAATAAAAAGTATCTTATATGTTGACCCGGATAACCAGCTATCATCATACCAAATTTCATCAAAATCCGTCCAGTGGTTTTTTTCGTGATTACAGGATTAAAGTAACAGACAGACAGACAAAAATTCTAAAAACTATAGATTCGGCCTCTGTATCAATAATAATGTCTATTTCAATAAGATTTTCCAAAATATATTTCATGTACAGATTCGGCTCAGTTAGAATTTTATTATATGTATAGATTTTAAATATATGTGTCAGTATAAAATAAGTGTCACAAAATAATAATATTGTATAATAATAGAAAATTCACGCGCTTTAGGACAATAGCTGTTATATCGCAATACTTATGTATAACTGGCGAAGGTATAACAATGACTAGATGATATAAACCCAGCATAATTTTTCTTAGATAAAATATCTGACGTTCTACTTTTGTTTTTTATAAAAAAAAATGTACCAGATAACATTTATCTTAATTTTAAATATAATATATATATTTATTTTAATTATTAATATATAACGATCTGAAAAGTTGTCAATGCTTCTCAAATGCGGTATTTTCGTTCTAGAACTTGAGTAGAGTGAGAGAGCTTTCTTGTTAAAAAAGTATAACTTTCATTTCATTAACACAATTCATCGATAATATAATAGTTTATATATATAACGTTTTCATACATATAATAAAATTGTAACTGATCCGAATCTGTACATTAAATATTTTTTTGGAAGATCTTATTGATATTGACATTTTTATTGACACAGAGACCGAATCCATAGTTCCTAGAATTTTTGTCTGTTTGTTTGCGACCGCACCACGGAAAAATCACTGAAGGGATGGAACCGCTGATTGGCTAATCCTTTCACCACGATGGCAATCCAAGGTCTATTCACAAATCCTTCTTTATGTGTAGTCTCAATTAACATCGAAGGGTTCTCAGAGAACAAATCAGAAATTCTTTCGAATATATACCGCAAAAACTCGATACCAGAAAGAGATGACTGGAGGGATTTTGATAAAATTGAGTACGTAATAGCTGGTTATCCGGGTCAACATATAGGATACTTTTTATTGCGGGAAAATATCTCATCTCTGAGAAATTTATATTAAATGTGAAAACGTTACTCGTAGGCGCGGACCCGAGCGGAGCGAGGGTGAGTCGCTAGTCATGAATAAAATTGCATTGTTAGAATAATTGCCAATAGTTCTAACGCTTTCCCTCGAACGTCATGAAAGTACTTATATATTATTTATTACGCCTTCAAAGAAAACCGAGTGTTCTTTGTATCACTTTGTATCACTAAAATAATAACATAGACGGAACTCCACGTTCCGTACAGTGATGTGGGCCTGATATGGTATTATAATTAGGTGTTTTATAATACTATTTCTGGCATAAAACCATCTAAACATAGTATAAAACAAAGTCGCTCCCGCTGTTTGTACGCTTAGATCTTTCAAACTAAGCAACGGATTTTAATGCAGTTTTAGCAATAGATAGAGTGATTCAAGAGGAGGGTTTATATATATAATACATGCACATTATGTTCATATTAACCGTTAAAACGTACTTAGGGACGAACCCGAGCAAAGCGAGGGTGAGTCGCTAGTATAAAATAAAATAATATAGTAAAAATATCCATTAGAAATATTTTTTATGAAATATTAAACATATTGTATTTTCTTTATGATTTGAAGTTATGTTTGTATTTTTAGTGTACCTTTTGCTCTCGTTATTTTATCTTGTAATCTAAGCGTACATCATTTCAGAATAGACAGATTTTAATAAGATGTATATATAAGAAACAATTATAATTAATTATTAAACATAACTCATAAGATATTTTGCATAATGTCGGTAGATATAATCAGGATTTTCATGAGTAATGAAATTAGAATAATATTGTACAATTTATTATACATCTATACTAATATAATAAAACTGAATAGTTTGTTTGTTTGTATAAACGTACTAATCTCTAGAATTATAGGTCGAATGTTCAAATTCGACTAGAAATTCGATTAGTAACCTTTTTTGTATTTGATACCCAATTCTTCCCAATTCTTGCGAAAGGCTATCTAACATCGCGCTACGAATTTTACGATATTAACAGTTTATGTACAACTAAATAAAATATATGAAAGAATAAGCGAGCAGAGGTGTAGAAATAGCTGGTTTTAAATAAAATAGGTAATATTGACGACACGTTTGGCTCAGTTTGTAGTGACCCTACTTTCGCGGGTTTGAGTCAAGCTGGGGGCATTCATTTGTGTGATGAGCACGAATATTTGTACTCCAGTTATAGGTGTTTATATTTATGATATGTATGTATTTAAAGTTACATATATGTAGTGTATCGACTATCTGATATCCATTACAGAAGCTTCGCAGCTTACAATGGAACTAGATGGTGCTGTATATTAATATCCTAACATATTTGCTCGTTACAGACTGATTATTATGAGTAGAAATATGTATAGATGTAGGGCAAACTGAAGTAACTAATAATAGGTCTACTGTTTTCTTTTACAGTAAAATCGGTTTTTATGACTACTTTATTCTAGTATTTGTTGTTTTATCTTTATTTTACATTAGTATAAAAGATTAAGTTTTAAGTACATATAAAAAGGAAGGTAAATTGCATGTTTCTAGATAGTTAAATACCTACTAATTCTTAGTATAAAAATTACTTTGTTCAATTTTTGTGACCGTTATAGTATACGAGCGACTTATCGCCTCGCTCGGATGCATCCGTAGGTGCTTTTTTGATTGGTTGGTTATAATATTACATACAACAAGCGCTATCTTTTCATACATTTTGTAACTAATAGAAGCCTATTTGATATTTTAGGTCATACGTCTATCTGTACCTACTAAATTTTCAAATTCCTCCTGCCGTTTTGACGTAAAAAAGTAACAAATATACATACAACCGTTCACTTTTATAATATTAGTTGGATGCTTATTGACATATTGTCTATAAATGCCACGTTTATTGAAGGGCGGCCCGTGCCCAACAGCAGGATGGAAAAGGGATGAATACATGCCATATATATAAATTAAAAGGCACAACACAAAATTCACTATTTTTTCTATGATTTATCTACGAATAAGTTTACGAACTATAAAATACAAGCGGCTCACCCGCACTTCGCTCAGGTTCGCCGTTAGGAAAACAAACCTATCCCGCGAGAACCGTAACCATTTTTCCGGGATAAAAATGTGTTATTCCAGACTATAATCTATCTCTGTGCCAAATTTCATCCAGATCCGTTCAGCCGTTCTGGCGTGATTGAGTAACAAACATACATACATACTCACAAACTTTCACATTTATAATATAAATACGGATTTGTGCAAATAGTTCGTAATATAATACGGTTACTTGTTTCTTTAAAGCCTTATAAAAATATACATTATGATACCCTCAACTAAAAACTTGACGTGCTTTACATATTGAAGACCTATACATATATGTATTTTAATATCAATTCAATTAAGTTTATTATTTTCACGAAATGGACAAAGGAAAATGTTATTATGCCTGTCTTCTACATTTTAATTAATTACTTTTAAAAAGTTTTATTAAGAGCAATTCCAAGTTACTTTAGAACATCACTCCAAATATGTCTTTTACAATTAAATTTATAATTAGTTACAGAATTTTTCCATTCTTAATATGTCTAAAGCGAAAATCTCTTTAAAAATATTCATTGTACATAAATAAATAGATTAACTGTAGCTTTAAATGAGATTAGTCTTTTCATTACTTCAAAGTCAAAATCGCAAATGAAATTTCATACAAATTAGGAGGTTCCTCTGTTAATTAAGTCCATTTACTTTCTACCGAGCTTATAGGTTGTTAGTCGCGTTCTGATTCGGACACGTTCAGACAAATAATATGTAAACTAAATTACTTTATAGAGATACGGTTTCACTTTTCATTTCTCCGCGATAGTTCATATTTCCTTGGCAACACCTCGGTATAATTTATTTCAGAATGTCTAATATTAAATTATCTTCAAAAATTTGCATAGTATGATATATATATTTTTAAGCAGCCTGCAAATCTGCAATCTATACTTAATATTATAAAGATACAGAGTTTGTTTGAACGCGCTTATCTCAAGAACTACTAATTCGATTTGAAAAATTGATTTTGTATTAGATAGTATGTTTATTGAGGAAAGCTTTAGGCTATATACTATATAGCACAAAGTCTATCTATTCCATACTAACTGTTAAAACGTAGCGTTAGACGAAACCGAGCGAAGCGAGTGTGAGCCGCTAGTATGCAATATTTCATATAACTCTTAAATTATTATTTATTTGTTTGTTTTGTTATACTCACTAGTCTCTAGTATTCACGTTAATTATTTAAACCCTATTATTTACATATCCTAAACACAGTTATGATAATAATATTATTTATTTATACCAAAGTTTATCCACAATTATAAAGTTTTAACGAGATCAGTCATTGCATTCACTAGAAAGCGGAGATCGCCTATGATTCATATAAACATTAATATTTTATGAGACTATTTCACTATCAACCTTGGATGAAATTAGAGATTGGGTAATTAATTAGCTGTACATATACGAGTATAATTTCTTTATTTGAGCTTCCTTAATAAAACATACAAAACACAAAGTGAATGTGACTTAACGTTCGGAGATTCAATTCAATAAGATTTCTTTATAGATTTCGCCCACATACATTAATCTTCGTCTAGATTTCAGACTGATCTATAATATTCTAGATTTCAGATTTAGTTTTCTAATGTATAGATATCAGAATTAGATACTGAGTGACAATAGTGTTTATTATTGTTTAGCTGCACGTTCTAACTAGTCAGATTTGAAACAGATTTTTGTTGCCATTTATACCATATTCATATACTGTAGCCCTTGGAAGTGAAATAATTACCCATACTAATATTATATAGAGGTAAAGTTTGTGAATTGTGAGTTTGTGATGTTCTAGGGGGTAATCTCCGGATCTACAGAACCGATTTAGATGAAATTTGGTAAGAAAATAGTTTGAAACCCTGAGAAGGACATAGGATACTTTTTATCCCGGAAATCATCCTTTAAGGGGGTGAAAATGGGGAATGAAAGTTTGTATGGGGAAAAAAGCTAGGGACGACCCCAAGCGAAGTGAGGGTGAGTCGCTAGTACATAAATAAAGGGGCAGGTCACAGGCAAAAATCTTATGCAGTATATTATTTTTTTAAACCAATGGTGTTGTTTATTTGAAATCTATACTGATATTATAAAGAGATTTTATATTTTATTTTTGTATGTTTACATTATACTTTCTTAGAGTTTGCTTATAATGGACAAACTAAAAAACTATTGGAACAATTTTAAAAAATCTTTCAGCTATCAAAAGTTACGTAAATTATCGGCGAGTAACTTGGGTCGAAGCGAGGGTGAGTCACTAGTGTCCTATAACTTTAGAAATCAATTACCAGACGCTATATATTTTATTATAATTATTCTGTGAACTGTAAGTGAAATCTAATTTTAATATTTTTCTTTATATTATACAGAATATACATTTTTTTCCACATTTATTTATTTACATAATAAAATACGTAACTTCCTACGGCTTGGGTCTCTCCATTCTTTTTATATCATAAATAAAGTGAAGTGAAACACTCATTTAATTATATGAATATTCAGTACTTGTATTTATTACATTCATTTTCATTAAAAATCCTATAGATACATAAAAACTTGCTCGACCTTGGTGAGGCAATATGGAAGTTTATTAGGTTTCACTTGAATATTCATTGCCAAATTTTAGATTTTCTAAATGATTATAATTGTTAGCGTTCGCCCAGTAGACGAAATTCATCATTTAATGGCTCGATCGATTTTAAAATTTTTATTTTTAATTTTTGGTAGGTATGAGAATAGGTCGTAAAGTATTTTTCACCCTCCTACCCCCACCCCCAATTTTATAATCGCAATTTTTGTATTTTTGTATGAACAATATTATATAAATACATAGCGATGATCCCGAGTGAAGCAAGGGTGAGTCGCTGTATAACATAAAGCCTAAAATTAAAAAAAAATTGAACACGGGCGTAGCCGCGAGTTCTGCTAGTATTTGAATAGAATTTACTTACCTATATAAAAAAATAGTGTTTAGAAAAATCTTTTATTGATCTACGATAATAGTAACTAAGCAAAAAATAAAAGATAATTGATTGACAAACAGAAGAGTTCAGTACCCTTTTCTCTTATGTTTGTCAACCGATTTTCTTGTTTTATCTTTGCCTATTTATACATGGATTATATTTTGAACTGTTTCTAATTTCTAACTTTATAAATGATTTTTTTTATTATAGATATAAATATAAAAAAAAAACATTAAATCAAACTTTCTATTTCCGTTAAATATAAACTTATGTAATAAGGAATAATCATATACAAATTTAAACAGTGGTAACACTAAATTTTGTTTTTATTTCGAGCGAAACTTTTCTATAAGTAGGTACTTTAGTTAGAAAAAGTCTTTTTAGCCACGTTTTTTAACTTATTCGACACTTTATTAGCAGATAACAATGATTAAACTTGATTGACCGATTAAAATGAGACGTATGGCAAACTTTTCGATATTCAAATAAAGGAAAGTAAATTACACTTACTTTTAAATAAAACTATATTTTTGTAATTTTTTCCTGGATTTAGTTTGATTTTTGGTTTCCGACGTTTCGAATGCTTTACAGCAATCATGGTCACGGGACTAAGGTTTTGTACTAAATACTTGTTACAGACAGTGTGTGTAGTGTATGCACACCTAACTTATTAAAAAAGTGATAAGATACAAATATTTTATTTGTAAAAGTGTCATTTTAAATATAATCGCCTTATTTTATTGTATACAAAGTTATTGTAGAGTCATCTCTAAATTGAAGCCACATGCTATATATAATACTTTCTTAGATTTCTGCGAATATTTAACATTTTAAATAAAACTATCTTTACGGATTTTTCGTAAATTTATTTATATAAATCCGCGTTTCGAATGCTTTACAGCAATCATGACGGGAGAGACCACATGTTACTCGTATAACTAATACTATACAATATTCTATCTATATATGTTATTGTTCAAAGTAATTTATAATGGCAATTATCGTCTATAGATTTTAAAGCATTAGAAGAAATAAATTTCTTTACACCGAACGCGACCGTTAGAGCGTGTCATTTCACGCATTGCGTATGTTTAATGAATATGAATTACATCTTTCTATAGTACATACATTCTTAGGTGCTTATTTTGCATACTAGGTTTCAAGCATCTGATCAGTAATGGACTTTTCATATAAAATTAGGTAAGCAACCTACTTTAGTATGATGAAAGGGCTGGACTGATTATGATAACACTTAATACAAAAATAAACTATAGGGCGAATTTTCTTAATCTACATCTACACTACTATTATAAAGAAGAAAGATTTGTATTTTTGTATGTTTGTAAGGAATAAACTCAAAAAATATGAGAGCGATTTAGATGAAATTTGGTAAGAAGATAGTTTGAGACCCTGGGAAGTAAATAGGATTTTTTTTTCGAATATCGGATAGAATTCCGGAAATCATTTCATAAGGGAGTAAAAATAAGATGAAAGTTTGTATGGGGAATCAATCTAGGAACGAACCCGAGCGAAGCGAGGGTGCGTCGCTAAGAAACTAATAATCATAAAGGTATTTGAACTAAGTTTCGTTGATAAGTTCTTCATACACTTGTATACGAGTATGATATTGTCTAATCGTGAATATATAAAAATAATACTTAAATAAAACCCAAAAAATGGCGAGAGTATTTGCAATTATGTTATTATTAGAAAATAAAATATTTTGAGTTTGAGTTTTATTACGTTTTTGCAATTCAATTTTATATCGTAGTATTATTCTGTATTTATTAAGTTAAAAACTGCATAGGTAATAATAATATTTTTTACTTATATTATTATTATTTCCTTTGCGTATATTATTGTACTATTTTTATAAAATAAATGCGCATTTCATTTCACATTCACCAAGTTGCTTGGTACGTTTTCTAATGTTTATTCATTATTGTTGCAATCAATCTTTCGACGTTCATTGAGACAACATCCTTCTTTGTCTATATTATATCCAGCCAGTAATCAATTTTTATCCGACATTAATATTATTATACTAAAAATAGTTAAAAAAAAATATTACGTATAAAAGTCAAGTTCAGTAAAATTAAATTTTAATATTACAGCAATATATAATTTCCTTTCCAATTATCATCGTTAATGAAATACCATAACAGTTTTGTAATAACCTATTCGTCAATCAAATACTCACATTTGACTTACGAACATATCTATTACAATTCAATAAACACTAAAAACAAGAAAACGTACTAAAATAATTACAGCGCATTAATTTTGTAAATCTAGACTATTTTAGATGGCTAGATTAGCACGGTCGTTGCGTTACACGCGCGGGGTGTTACTTTCTCTCCCCTCTAACGGTGCAATATTGCAGCGGGGCGGCGCGGCTCCTCAGACGACGACCGACCGCGACCACCCAACCTCGTGAACAAGCAGCCCGCGCTACCGTTCGTGCCGCCGGCCTTCCCGCACAACGCGCCGGACCGACTTATTAAACCATCGGAGTATTTAAAAACCATCACGGCGCCCTGCAAGCGCGACGATGCCGCGGGGGAGGCGCGCCCGCCACCCCCGCCGCCCGCGCCCGACAACATACCACCGCCTCCGCCACCACAACCACCCCTAACCCATAATCAACCCTTAGCTGCTATCAGCTCGGCAGAACTAACAGCTGTAAGACTGAAGACCACGGCAACCAAAACAATGTCTGCCCCACCACCTGCGAGATCTGTCAGTCTTCAGTGCTTGCCCACTGCAGTAGATTTCAGAACCGCCAAGACAGATCTGATAGAAGAATTGAAACTGTCCAAGGATATCACTGGTATAAAGAAGCTGAAAGTGGAACGCGCCAGACGGGAGAGTTTACAGGATAAGGAGACCTTCACAGAGTTCACCAAACGGTTCACGGCCGAAAATTTCGTAGACCAGGTAAGTGGTGATAATTCGCATAACTACAGAAGTGGTATTGTTTTATAATAACTTTAGAACAAGTGTTTGCATAATTTCTTTCACATTCTCCAGTGCAGTTGCATCCGCTCATTTAACCCACTGATCCACTTCGCGTCTCCCTACTGCTCGTTTAATGACCATGAAATAAACTGACTGGCATTTTATACTAAATTGCGTATTTTTACGCTTCGATAAAGTTTTTTAGCGCAGAAATGTGGCCGTGTATCACAAGTGATATCTGGCGGAAATGATCTACTTACGTCAACTTTATGATAGAAATTATAGCATTAGTTCGGCCGTTTATTAGTTTTGAATTGTTTTTTGTAACTGTGCTATGTTTGAACTAAACGATATCAGCTAATAGTTGAAATTTTAAAGTTAATTCTAGTTACGCCATTGCAATTATTATGTTTCTAAGAAAGTCTATTTAAAACCACAAGCATTTCAATAGGTGTTGAAGAATGTTCTGTTTCCTCATAATTCATATTACGCAAGACAGTCTTCATTCTTACAAAAAAACTCGCAATAGAAAAATATATAATATAATAGTATACTAATTATACGGTTGGTAAAAAATGCACATCATAAACCAGTCATTAAAGTATGGCTACTGCAGGTATTTTGAATGAAGTCATAATTGTATTAGTTATTTTTTGTTATATAAATACATGCTATTTATATCAAAAGATGTTGGTTAAAAAAAATATCAAAATTAATGAAATATACTAATTTTATTATTTTGCTCAAGTTCTCACTATCTATACTAATATAATAAAGAGGTAAAGTTTGTGAATTGTGAGTTTGTGACGTTGTAAGGGCTAATCTCTGGATCCACTGAACCGGTTCAGATGAAATTTGGTAAGAAGATAGTTTGAGACCCTGGGAAGGACATAGGATACTTTTTATCCTAGAAATCATCTCTTATGGGGGTGAAAATGGGGATGAAAGTTTGTATGCGAAATAAACCTAGGGACGAACCCGAGCGAAGCGAGGGTGAGTCGCTAATTTGTTAATGTTTCTTTAGAATAAAGATTGTTTGCTTTATGACTGTTTTAAGAAACATATTAAATGCTATATTCATAGGAATTAATACGTATTTTGTACATAAAATTGAGCTAACCATTACCACTTTGAAGGCTTGGTATTATAAAATACTGCGTAAAGTCCCTAGGGCGCTTAGAAACTTCTTTTATGTTTAGAATGTCACTTGATCTTTTAGTTTTAAAAAGTTTCTACAATCCGACCAGAAGAATATTCTATATAAGTTAAGAAAATAATAAATAAACCATGTAAGGAGTTCTTAGTAAGAAATCAATCAACGAGAAAATTGTATGAATAAATCTTACACACCGTTGCAACACCTTCAGTTATCGTTTAAAACAGTTTTCATAATTTTTACTTAGTTTTTGATAGGTTTGATCATTGTTTCTTAGGCACTATAATTATAATTACGCTGTGAGATAAAGTATAAGCAATATTTATTTCTTTTATGTTGTTATTATGTTGGCTTTTCTGTTAAATTAGGCATCTACTTCAGGATAATAATGGTTTCAATATACAAATATGACATTATTTTATAATGATTTGAAAACGATTGGTCAAATCAAATTTATAATAGCCAGTTAACCTACAAAATTAATAAATATATGTGATTGATGTATATGTAAATAAAATTATATCACCAAGTTTTGAAATCGTTACATAAACAGACATACTGTCACACTTTTCCATATTCGTTAAGAACTTTCATAACTAAATCAATAACTTCGATAACTTAACGACAAAATACTTCCTTTAATAAAATCAACTTCCTATTATTTTATAACTATTGCGGATATAATATTATATTGTAATTATATGTTATGGAACATAATTAGCAATTATATAGCAGAGCTTTATAGAAACCTGCCTACTTGTAATTTTTCAGTCATTATATATTCATGAGTAAAGCTATCAGGAAGTAGGCAATAAATCAAGTTTAATAAGAAAAAGATGGACACGACATGGAGGCAAAGTGAAATATTTCTTATTAATTTGGACGACACGTTTGGCTCAGTTTGTAGTGCTACTTGCTATGCCAGCGGTCGCGGGTTCAGATCCCGCTGGGGGTATTCATTTGTGTGATAGCACGAATGTTTGTACTGCCATGTGTGTTTTGTTTATATTTATAATATGTTTTTAAAGTCATATATGTCTAGTGTATTCAATTATCTGGTATCCATAACACAAGCCTTGTAGTTTACCATGGAGCTAGATGGTGCTGTGAGAGTCTTATAGTAAACAAATGAATAACAAGATAATATTTTCAATACTTATAGTTATTTTTTTAATTTGTCGTCTGCTCCTTTAGCTAAGAGAAGTATTATAAAATATGTAATATTTAAAAAATGTAACAAAAGCTATATCATATACTAAGTGATAAAAACATCTTTGAATGTAACATAGGGTAATTAGGAAAGACTAATTGCGCATAAAAAGTTTAAAAAGTATTATATATATATATATATATATATATATATATATATATATATTAAATTTATATATATATAATTTATCATATCTGATTAACATAAGAAAGGAATGTGAATCAAAATAAATTAACAATCCAAATTATATGATTACGCGACTAATTAGATTGTAATTCAACAGTTATACGTTCAATAGCTTCTTTTCGTAAGCGAAAGTTGTCTTTACATATTATATCAATTAGGTTATATTTTGTATGGAAAAATTTAAAATTTTTGCCAACTGTACGCGCATATCCATTTTCACGCTTTCACTGTTTTGACGTTTTACCAGAATCATGTCTTGGAAGCACGATTTTTGTTTATCTTTCGAAAACAGTCGGAATTAAAAGATATTATTTATTAAAATGATGGGATCGTTTTCGTGAAACATACAATGGGGAAACAACGATTTGAATTTATAGATAAATATAATTAACCTAAATAAAAAAATAATATAATTAAACTTTGTTTATTTCTTGTGACAAAGGTTTTACTACGAATGGAATAAGTGGTCGTAATTTGTCATCATATTAATATTATAAAGAGGTTATGTTTATAAGTTTGTAAGTTTGTTTGTAGGAAGTAATCTTTGGAGCTACTGAACCGATTTAGATGAAATTTGGTAAGAAGACAGTTTGAGGTCCTGGGAAGGTCATAGGATAGCTTTTGTGCCGGTAATTATCCCTTAAATTTGGGGATGAAATTTTGTATGGGAAATCGCTAGTATTATGTATGCTTTAAGATTCATTAACTCTAAAATAAATGATAAAAAATAATATCTTATATATATGATAACATAGATAAATGTTATCTTTTATAAAAAAAAATTTAATATGTCGTCTAAAATATTACATATGTACTTAGATAAACTTTTAAAACTTTAGTATGACAAAGAAATAAGCATATTTAAAGCTATGGAAGAGTTCCACTAGCTTCCTGGCTCCACCATCATAAGCATCTCAATAGTATCATATTATTGTAATTCCACTCGAATTTTACGTTTACGAAATCTTAATCTATATGACAGAAGTAGGTCAAAATCGATATCAAGATGATTAATATATATATATATTAATTACATAGGTAGAAGTTAATAAAATACAGACGATAGTGACGAAATTTTTATAAAAAACAAAATCGATACAAAGTTGAAATCGATGTATTTTACCATGACAAAGCAGACGAGTAGATCACATTCAATAAACGCATTTAAACGTATGTTACATTTAGAAACTGCCAGTTAAGTATGAGAGAGCTGTATTTTAAGTCAAAACGGACTTTCTTTCGAGCGCCGGCAATGATTGCAATCATGAAGCGTTTTCATTTCGTAAGTGTAAATATTATTTATTATGCATAAACATAGATATTAACTTATTTCTAGTTTACTCGATACTCTTATTAAGAAAAGTGTTACTTTTCGAAGAAAAAAAATGTTTTGATAGAGATTTGAAAGATAAAGAGATGTACAATTCTGATGTTAAATAAAAAAACTCTACTCGAGTTTCTCGGAAATAATGTCTTAATATGAAACTTTCTTATTTTTACGTAAAGTTTTTATTTTGCGCACATTATAGGTACATATTTATATTTCCCAAATAGAAAGGTTTTTAGTGAAACGTGTTTTTTTATCTTTTAAGTCTATACATCATAAGTAAGCCATTTTTTAGATAAAAGTCACAAATTATATGAGCACTTTTATTTTGTTTGAAATGACGGTGTGATATTAGTTAGAAAACTAAGCTAAAGGATTTTCCTTACGTGAATTTAGGAGTATGTATAATAGTATCGTTCCTAAGACTCGTATCGTGATGTTAGTTTATTTTCTGCAATAATTAATCTATACAGATAAATAAAATTGAAGTGTCTATTTGTTATGTCAAAATAACAACTTTTTACTAAATGCACATGAAATTATACGGTACTTATAAGACAAACACAATTTTAAATTTTTTTATCTGTGTGTTTGTCTGTTTGTTGCGGCTAATCTCCGAAACGGCTGTATTTATTTTGACGGGACTTTCACTCGCAGATAGCTGATGTTATAAGAAGTAACTTAGGCAACTTTTATTTTAGAAAAAGAATTAGGGTTCCGCTCAAAAAAATTAAAAAGTACCTAGGACGGACTTAGTTTATAAAATGTAAAAAGATTTCCAAATCCGATAATTTCTTCAAGTCAATAATATTAGTATAGATATAAGACATAAGCGAAAGTTTTGTGTATTTCGATCAGATTGTTTGAATAAGACTTTCGAATTTAAGGATCATATTATAGGTTTACATAATTACAACGAAATTGGTGAAAGAGTAAATATTGAGAGAAATCTCTTTAGAACTTCCAACTAATTTACGATCTAAAAGTTTATGTTGTAATAAAAAAATATTATGTACAACAAAAAGGTACCTATATACGTAGGTACCTATATATAGATATACATACATAGCATTTAAGTATTGCAACAAGTGCGTTTATTGACGTGCTACTTTCCTCTGTAGAGTTATGACTGTTGGTGAGAGACTTAACTACTTGTTGCTATAAAACTATAATAATAATTAGATACTTATAGACTATTTCGCTCATAAAAATTGCAAAATACACAATATCTTCTAATATATATAAATATCTAGTGCACGGTGTTTGTGGTCGCACTCCTTTAAACGGCTCGACCGATTTTAATGATTTTTTTTGTATATTTAGTAGGTATGAGAATAAAGTATTTTACACCCTTCTAAGTCCACTTTATTTTTGTATGATCAATATTATATAAATATGTTGTATAATATAAAGCCAAAGAGCTTTTTTTTGTAGATTTATCGCGGGCGTGGCTAGTTCTGTTAGCATTTTTATAATATTTTACCGTTTTATACGTATCTATTTACTTGTCTAGATATCGCAATGCCAAACATTCAAACTATCTGTCATTTTTGTTCTTCATGGTAAAGCATATCGCGTGTGATAAGTAATAAGCGTACCTCAAATTACGGTCTGGTAAATTCTTCGTTAATTTTTATTAAGAGATTTTTTGTATGTAGGTAATTGCTATTTCAGAGAACAATTTCTTCATTCAAAATTTAAAGATAAGATGCTACTTCGTTGACTTAAAAATATAATTAAACAATAATAAATTAAAATTTTACAAACTTGGCGCATTATTACCAGTTATATGAATGAATAACAAGTAATAATGGTGTCGTCCTAAACAATTTTGGCCACGGCGGTCAATATCACTGAGACATGCGTGTCTGTATCACTGAGTGCACACGTGCACTCTCTATTATTTTTACTGTCAAAATCCGATGGGACGACAATATGATATGGCCGGTGCATATAGGATGCAGGACCGATGGCTTAATCTGCTTTGCGAGCCACAAGGTTCACTGATCGGACCGTAAATTATCCAAATTTTGGCAGCAGTCTGTTACTGAGAATATCTTGACAAAAAACTCACTAACTAATCGGTCCGACTGAGACTCAAACCCGGGGTCTTCGTATTTATATTGTACATGCTAGCCACTAGACCAAAAGTACCATTATAAGTAGCTGTTGTACGTCAACAGAAAAGTATCGATCAGAAGATTATTTAACCGTAACATACCGTAACATGCGTTCAATTTAAAATATAGCTTACTAGCGACTCACCCTCGCTCCGCTCGGGTTCGTCCTTACTTGCGTTTTAACATTTAGTATAGATTTCTCAGAGATGAGATATTTTCCCGCAGTAAAAACTACTATATGTTCACCAGGATAACCAGCTATCATCATACCAAATTTGAAAATGAAAATCCCTCCAGTGATTTTTCCTTTATGCGGTCACAGACAGACAGACAAAATTCTTAAAAACTATAGACTCTGCCTCTGTATCGTTAATAATCACTATTTCAATAAGATTTTTCAAAAAAATATTCAATGTACAGATTTAACTTAGAATTTTATTAGATCTATTATTTAAACTACACACATATAGGTATAAATCTAAAAATAAAGTATATATAAAACTTAGTTTGATTTATTATTACTAGTTAGGTATATGGATCATAAGTAACAGTCCACGTCAACAGTAAAGTGTCGGTCATATGATCCAGAACATTCTTACCATTAATCATATATCTCATGGACCGTATCACGTATGATGTAAGCCATTAGAATATCTTATTATAACAGTAATACTTTCTTAGATTAAAATAAAACTGTTTATTTGGTTTTTCTCGCAGTTTTATGTTGATTTCTGGTACCTGACATCTCGAATATTCTACAGCAAACTCTTTCCCGTAATTCATGATTGCTGTAAAGTATACAAAACGTTAATAATGAACCATCAAAATAAAACCGCAAAAATTTAAATAAATATGACAAATAATGACTTGAAATGTTTGGTTGGTCTATTTCATTAAAGAACAGGGGTTTGATAATAAAGCACGCATTATATCAAAATTTCTAATCCAGTCCGGTAAAGACGAATACGAGGTTGGGTTAGCAGGGAGCCTTCTAACGTAATTGCTCTAGAGATTGGCAGTAAATGGGGAACGGATAGTGGCAATTATTTTACTTTCTTTTAATCTATTAGATATTTAAAAAAATGTATCTTTGTATCATTGTACTCAGTATTGATCTACTTAATATTAGTTTTGTGTAACATGTGTTAGTTTGTTTAGTCAAGTATGTTATAGGTTTAAATTAAGAAATTATTTAAATATTATCTGAGAGGCTTAGACAAGATGTCATCCTGCAATCGTTGAAAAAAAAAGAAATTAAAAAAAAATTATTTTTATGTTATAGCTATTTTTGTCGATCCAATACAATTCTTTAAAGCTCTTTCTGTACTTATATTATAAAGAGATAAAGTTTGTGACTTTGTGACGTTGTAGAGGGTAATCTCTGGATCTACTAAACCGATGTAGATGAAATTTGGTAAGAAGATAGTTTGAGATCCTGGGAAGGATATAGAATACTTTTTATCCCGGAAATCATCCCTTAAAGGGGTGAAAATGGGGATGAAAGTTTGTATGGCGAATCAAGCTAGGGACGAACCCGAGCGAAGCGAGAGTGAGCCTCTAGTTATTCAATAATTTTAGAATCTCTTCTTCTTTATCTTATCTAAGAAATAGAAAAAGATGTATTAATAAATTAACAACAGTATTTTACAGATTATAGATTTAAAATGCAAACATATATGTATATACTATATACATATATAAAAAAATTTACACTATATCAATTACACGTATAAATCTCGTAAATTCTTCCTACACGTCCAGTATTCGTTTCGGTCATAGAGCATTGCGTGTGATGTAAGCAATAAGCACCGCACTAACGGTAACCAATGCTATAAATATATCAACTTATTAGTGCAGGATCTGAGTGTATTAGGTTTTTTTGTCGATTTTCGTAATTAATTAAAATGATTATGTGAATTAATTTTATATAATCGATATTAGTGAGTATGTAATGAAATAATTGTTGAATTAAACATATTATGGAACATTTTAATGAATAAATATAGAACGATATATATATATATATATAATATATATATATATATATATATATATATTATATAGTAATTTATTGTTCTTTAAAAATAAATAAATTATAAAAATAATGTTATTACAATAAAATATACTTTAATCCCTCCACGACCGAGGTGTTCAACACCTCCAGGTAAATTTCTAAGAAATTAATTAAATTTCTAAGAAATCTATTGTTAACTGTAACGCCGGCGTGTCCACGGTCGTGGAGGGATTAATATGCTTATATGACTAGAAGTAAATAAAGGTTTTTTTTTGATACAGGGCTTTGTCGATATCGATATACAAAGAAAATGATCTGAGCGAGAATCAAAATTGCGGTTTTCGGAATATAAACAATAATTCAATAGTAATATATGCACAATTAAACAATTAACTATCTAAAAATATAAAATAATGCCATTTCAAATTAACAATATAATTTCAACAAAACATTGAAAATATATTAGTTAATTTTGCACACACACTTTTGTCCCATACGGACATACATCCGAAAACGGATCCCTCAAATTCGGGCGGTTGGTCGACGGCAGGGTTTTTCGCAGATCCCGGAAAGAGATACTGCGGGTAACGTTATACCGGCGTGGAAGCGGCAGATGTTGGCGCGGAGAGCTGCGGAGAAAGCTCGGAAAGATTTGGAGAGAGAGCTGGCCGGTGAGGCTGAGAGACGGAGAGCTGCAGCCGTTCCTGCTTGGAAGAGGCAGTTGTTAGCCAGACGGGAGGAAGCCGAGAATCGATTGAGGTAAGCTATTAGATTTTTGTTTGTTAGAATCTTTTATTAATAATAATTAATTAGACAAGTCATAAACTGATAAAAGATAGGATTGAACGAATAAAATTTTAATTATAGGAACTAAAATTTTATATTTTATAAAGATCACACACTCTTAATAACAGTTACTAGATTTTTCTAGTGATTATTTTCGGGCTAACGACTGTAGTTTACAGTACGACTTATTAAACAACACAGTTTGTTATCTGTGTAATTTTAAACTATACTTTTAATTCGGTAACTATTTGTTGAAGTTTGGTGTGGTGATAGAGGTGATAATAACTTATGTTGATGATACTTATTATTATAAGTTTTTTTTATGACCAACCAGCAACTTAATCACTTACCTAGGTCGCTTTATCACTCAGATAGGTACCTTACTAGCCTATGTTTTACTACAGTTTCAGTTTCTAGTCTATGTGCTAAATTTCATTCAAATCCGTCCAGCCGTTTCGGCATGCTGGAGTAACGAACACACACGTACAAAATTTCATATATATAATTTCATATATTGTTATAGTGGTCCAATAAACTTATTCTACATTTCAGACAATCCCTATACACACCAAAAATAGAGGAATCGAATGACATTATGAAACAAAATGGCGATTGGCGCGCTTACCCGAGCGGGACGCAACGTGCGGTGTCCATAGACAACATCTCGCTCTGCTACGACGCTCCCTCACATCCTATGCGTGCGCCCTCCGAAGTCAAACTGTCTTCTGAGCATTGCAATGGTATGAAAAATAACTGTAAATTTCAATTTGTAGGTACTAATATTATGAAATGTTTCTTAGTCATTTTTTTGATGCACAATAGGAATTTTTGACATAGTAGGTATATTTTTCTTGTAGGCTATTTGATATAAAAAACGAGGATAGCACAAGATGATAACAGATAATTCAAATAATACTTTCTTAGATTTACGCGAATATTTCATTTTAAATAAAACTATCTTTTCGGATTTTGTCGCGGATTTATTTGTATTTTTGACTGACTCAGACTCAGTCTCTCCCGTGACCATGGATGCTGTAAAGCATTCGAAACGTCGGGAAACAAAAATACAAATAAATCCGCGACAAAATCCGAAAAGATAGTTTTATTTAAGATAATTCAAACTTTAATTTTTTCTTACTGAGAACGTGCAATGGGTTCAAAATCTCTTCTATCCTAAGAATGTCTTTTGTTTTTGACTTGGACCTCCCTTGTGTTAAAGCGTATGAAAATTGAATGAAAAGTATACTTTTAAAAAAACTCATATGAAAGTCGACAATTACTATCAAAGTTATCGTGTATAATAAACACAAATTCTTCTATATGAAAAAAAGGCTGTCAAAAATAACGCTTGCCATTTATTTACAAGAGCAAAATTTATTATAATAGTTTTTGTCGCAATGTACTTTTAGGAGACATTACAATACAATAATATTTGATAATTATAACATATTAATATATAAATAACGCAAATACGCATATAAATTACAAAAGATATATTCAAATTTTTTGACTATCTAAAGTCTAAACGATTTATTAAAATCATATATAAATATTATATAATTTAACATTTTTACTTATATACATTTCAGGTCACATGACGTCAAACGGAGATCATCATGAGAACGAAGAAGATGAAAGCGCTAAAATCATCCCATGGCGAGCTCAATTACGTAAAACCAATAGCAAACTTAATTTACTCGAATAGTGTAGTTAGAGTAGGACCCGTAGCTTGCAAATAGAAACGGCGGTGTTTCCACATCGACGACATAAAATATACACATTATATTTTAATTAAAATATATAAACTATATTTTTATTCGTCGATATTTTTATTTAACAATAAATTAACGATTTATTTACATATCTATAACGAGGGCTTAATGTCGCTAACGAATTCTCACTTAAGTTACTTTAATATCAATTTATAAAATCTATTTTATTGATATCAATAAAATTGTTATTTATTTAAAGATTATTCTACATATTTTTGTTTTTTTTTTTGTTATTACTTTTAAATATTGTCTATGACATACATTTCATGAAATTTTCGCGACAATTTATTTAAGCTCTCATTTCGAAACGACGTTTTCGATCTATTAGAATAGCTATTTTACTCGAGATGTAATTTTTATACCTTAGTTTCAGCTAAAGTGTGAAAATTGATAACTTTTGATAACTCGTATTTAGATAAGTATAGTGATTATTAAACAAAGATTTCGAGATTTTTTACTTTTACACTGTAACATATATGTAAAAATGTAAATCTTATATTTTACTCGTTGTATAATCGTGAAATTTTCTAATGAGTAGCCGTAACCTTCTAATTTTTTTTTATTATTTAATATATAATAGTACTAATATGCAAGTGATATATAGTTGCAATATTAGTTTTAAGCATAACAGCTTCGCTATATACGATCACTAGTGTCTATGATTGGGTAAGTTAAATTGTTAATAAAAACCATTGCTTAAATTGTGTTTCATTGAAGAACTTTACTTCTAACATTATGTCTGTAATATTAAATCACTTAAAATGTCGCCTGGAATCCAAAATATTTGTCAGTTTTTATTATATTTTAAAATATTTACACACTAATTTGGAAGTCCGCTCAAGTGCTTAACTCATTGTTTTTAAGTATAAAATTGCCATATTAATGTTTTTTAAACATACAAATGAGTGTACTTAATTTAATAAGTAATAAAAACTTCTAATTAACGGGTAATAAAAATAAAAGTAAATTAAATAAGTAGGTACTGTAATAAGTTAATGACAATGTGTGTGTTCCTGCAAAATATTACGTAACTTTGACACAATAAAAAGTATAAAAAAGCAGTCATGAGGACTGCCGACAGAAGAGAAAACTTAAAACTATAAACAAACAGTTGTTATTTTTGGATATTCAAATTAATTGTTTGATCTTAAGTTGCAAATTAAAACTGTTTACGTTTATCTGGTTTTGACATCTGTCGGCACTTTTGAGTGTTAGCGTTAACACGTCACGTGACCATGTCGATAACGACTTATTTACTTCCCATCCAAACCTGCATATAGAAGTTTACACTTCAAAAATATATAAAAACTAGTGACGCTCCCTCGCTTCGCTCGGATTCGTTCCAAATTAAGTTTTAACATTTAGTATAAATTTCTCAGAGATGAGATATTTTCCCCCAACAAAAATTATCCTATACGCTAACCCGGATACCCAGCTATCATCATACCAAATTTCCTTAAAATCTGTCCAGCGGTTTTTTCGTGATGCGTTCCCAGGCAGACAAAAATTCTAAAAATGGAAAGAATCGGATGGAAGACCGAAACTATAGTTTTTTGTTTTTTTTTTTGATAATTGATAATGACTATTTCAATAAGATTTTTCGGAAAATAATTACTGTTCAGATTCAACTCAGAATTTTATTATATGTATAAACTAGGAGAAAAACAAAACTTAAGTTTTTATGACAATTAGCTTAGTTTTGTAAGTCGTTGAGGAAAGAAAAAATTGGTAAAATTACGAGCAACACAATAAATTTACTTTTTGGTTTTTCGATAGCAGTTGTTAATAAAAACTTTTTAACAAAAAAATAAAAACCGACTTCAAAAAAAAGCACTAAAAAGTAAAAAATAACTGATTGGTAGTTTTCATTTACTATACATACCTAATCAAATATTTTCGAAGTCGGTGTGCTTTGCTTTGTATGGGCTGGCACCGATTTCGAAAATATTTGATTAGGTATGTATTTAATAGGTAGGCTTTAACTACTTAGCCAAAGCACACCGACTTCGAAAATATTTGATTAGGTATGTATAGTAAATGAAAACTACCAATCAGTTATTTTTTACTTTTTAGTGCTTTTTTTTGAAGTCGGTTTTTATTTTTTTGTTAAAAAGTTTTTATTTTTCCATTTTTAGTGTAGACAGTAGTAGCAAAGTAAGGATTCTAACGTGTTAGGCTTGTCAAATCAAACAAAATAAGCCCAAACTCAAAGTATCTACTATTAGCCGTTGAAGAGTTCCACCTATCCACCTTCTGGCCTTGCCATCAGATCAGGTCAACAACACCGAACCACTGTACTATCAACGGAAATAGAAATACTTGCAAAGTTTCAAGTCAATATGACAATTAGAAGTAGGTTAAATTCATCATTAGTTGTTTTTCCACCCTTAGGGGTGGTATTTTTTTTGAAATTTAAATGGGACCAATCTGGAAGTATACCCTTTCAAACAAAACAAAAATTGTCCAAATCGGTTAATAAATGACGGAGTTCTGAGGTAACAAACATAAAAAAAAAAAAAACATACAGTCGAATTGAGAACCTCCTCCTTTTTGAAGTCGGTTGAAAATTACAAGTCTCTTTGATATAATACAAATAAGCTCTTATCAGATCGTAAAACTAAAAATAAAAATATTCAATCTAAATCGAATATTATAAGTGATTTTGATTTGAAAGTGAAATAGTGTAACTATTGCATTTTAAGTTAGTTTTAAGTTAGTTTAAAATGATTTACCTGCTACTTGTTAAAACGTTTTTAATATTTAATATTTTTTCAAATCGCATCGTTGTAACAATAGAGATTAAAGGTCATTTATCGGATCCACTAACGCTTTACAATATTTTCAAGCAGTATGTCAAACCAGCACTTACGTTTTCTTCTATAGAAAATACTGGTTTACAAACTAAAAGAAACTTAGATATTGATAGAGTTATTCGAGCTAAAATAGTTGAATTACAAGAACGTCTTCAAGATTATGATGTTAAAGCATTAAACAATGTTTTGTTAGAAGGTAAAGACGATACGACAATCATAGAATTTTTACCTAAAATGGGAGCAACTCGTAGTGGCAATTTAACACATAAAGATTATAAATTAAGAAATAATCTTAAAAAGTATAAGAAATTAAGAGAAAAAATCGATAAAGCTCTATTGAAAGAATCAGTATCACACAAGACAAAACAGCTTGTGTCAAAAACTTTGGATGACATGATTAGAAAAATGTTAGGAAATCAATGTCAATGGAAAACAAACGTGCGAACTGAAAAAACTCGTGAACCACATTCAATAGCCGACAGGTGGAATAAAGGTGTACATAAAATAAAAAACCTGCTGCTCAAATTTTTTTCCAAAAACAAAAATGCACGACGTGACGACATTTCATCAGCGATGGACAGCATCCAAGTTTTGCTTAACAGTGTTGCTGATGATATCGATATTATTTCTAAGAGATACAAAATACAATGTGAATTTATTCCAAAACATACTAATGCTTTAAGAAATAAATGGGATGGAGCTGACATAGAAGAGGGCAAATGTGCAGATCTAGTAATATGTTCTGGAGAGTTAAATGAATTTATGCATAGATTTTACAGAGCTCTTAACGATACAGCGACAAACGTAATAAGAAATTATATAGAAATGTACATGAGAGATGTTGCAAGCGATCGTAATGAAAAAAGAAAAATTATTAAACAATTAAAGAAATTGGCTGACAATTTAGAAGTTAAAGTACAAGAGATATTTGTAACAGAAACACAAAAACTAAGACTTGATGAAAATAAAAGGACCGAAGAAAATTTAAACCACTTGTCTCATTACGTTCGACATTCTATCAGAAATGTCAAAAGTCTTGCCAATGACGTAATCAAAACTAAATTATATAAAAGCACAGATAAAGTAACGGCAGTCATAATTGACGATATAAAAGTAAATATGGACATAGATTTGGGAAATTTAGAAAGAGAATTTGTTACCAAAATATGTTCTATGTTTCATATATGCAATGGTAAAAATATGGCTAGGCGACGAAATTTCGAAAATAATAAAAACAATTTGTATGTACAGGTGGAGGTGAGTTTTGATGACGATATGGTGGATTTAAATTCCTTGAGACGTGTTAATCAAAATGGCGGAAATAATACTTTTAATATAACCTATTATCTTAATGTGACTAGAACTACAAATATGGATAACGTCTCTACTATGAGTTATTGACTTGCATTCTGAAATCATCAAAACTAATATGTAAGCAAAATAAAAATAAATAAAAATATATACAAAGATTTAACAATATTGAGTCACTATTTAATTTAAAGGGGTACAAAATTTTTCACATTACAAACAAACAAACCTATCTAAATCTTTATAATATATGTATACAAAAATCAATTTCTGTTCGTTAGTCTCGCTAAAACTCAATAGCGGCTGGACCGATTTGAATTTTTTTTGTTTTGTTGGGGAGTGTGTCAGGTTAAAGTATATAAAAAAATTGGAACCCCCAAAAGAACAGCTGGAAAATCGAAAAGTTCAGAACTGTTTATTTAGTATGGGAATCACTAAACGTTAAAACGTACCTAGAGACGAACCCGAGCGAAGCGAGGTCGAGTTTCTTGTCTTATATGTCAATATAATAACAACTAGCAACTGCTCGGGTTCATCTTTAGTTAAGTTTTAACGTTGATTTATCAGAGATAAGACATTTTCCTGTAGTAAAAAGTACCCTATATGTTGACCCGGATAACTAGTTATCATCATACCAAATTTCATCAAAATCCGTCCTGTGGTTTTTCTGTGATGCGGTAACAGACAGACAGACAGACAGACAGACAGACAGACAAAAATTCTAAAGACTATAGATTCAGGCTCTGTATCGATAATAATGTCTATTTCAATAAGATTCTCCAAAAAATATTTAATGCACAGATTCGACTCAGAATTTTATTATATATATAAAAGATAAAATATATTGACAAATATGTGTTCACAAAAATTTAAATAATGAATAAAAAAAGTATTAAAAAATAATTGTTTATTTTTCAATGTATTAACAATCTTGCTTAGTTCACTTTTAGCACTAAATACATATAAAATCACTTACTAATAACATGTTGAAAAAATGTCCTCTTATTTCATTGGATATCTCAACATCTTTCCTTAAATCTTATGACAGTACATTCGAGGGAAGCTTCTCTGCTTCAAATTTGCCACAATTTGCTTTCCTTTGTCTGTCTGTTGGTACTCCTCTACAGGTCGTATTTTACAACTGATCTGGACGAAACTGGGTATGCAGGTTTTACTAATTTATAGATTTTTATTGTCGTCAATGATTTTTGATTGCAGGAGTAAATTCCTCCAAAAAGGGGCAAAAAGGGGGCTACTGGATATCTCCGCTTTATGAGATCCGGTTTGATGGTTCTCTTTTATTTGAAAAAGGTGGTAAGTTTAAGTTAGTCTCATAAAAGTTCGGTGAAGATCTGATGAGGATCTTTGACTGCACTTCTCTTGTGCTCCCCATGTTTACTATTCATAAAACTAATTATAATCTGATTAGAGATAGGGTTGTTTTTGTTTTTAAATTTTAATAGCCATCAGTATAAATAATAGGAAAATGTTGTATTCTGCCGCTCGACCAAGCTATTGTCAAACAAGCACCCTCTTTGAAATTTTGTTGGAATGCCATTGTCGATGGTACTTCATTCTCTATCCCAGTGATAAAGCAACTGAAAATAATAATATTTTCTGTTTAACTTCTTCAAAGATATATAGTACATATATAAAATGTACAGAGAAATTGTACATTTTTACATATACTTAAAGTTACATTAATATATTATGTAAATAGTCAGTGCCGGATTTAACCTTAGCGCCGTTTCTCGGCATAGTAAAAAAAGGCCGCCCTATTATCGAAATTTTGCATAAAATGGGTAAAGTTTCGATAAAGTTTAAATTGTTTTATTTGTTATTTTTTTAAAAATTACAAAAAAATAATTTATAAATGATATCAATTTTTCGAAAACAGTATAATACGCGCCACGAAAAATGAGACTTGACGAGCGTCAGTAGTGGGGATCCTGTGCAGGTACAGTCGTGTACGAAATAGTTATCTATAATTTATTTCTATATCTATTTTTATTTAGGGATTTTTCAATATCATTCGGAATAAGGTATATAGCAAAGTTATATTAAAATTATTAACAATATTTATTACGAAATGATACGCATGGTACGCAATGGTACGCACTTGTACCTGCTTCAAATTTTGTACCCCTTCCTTTGTTCCTTTTAACATATAACTGTGCACGTCGTAAACTATACTCCTACTTTGTCTTCTTAATATTTAACCTCGAGGCATAATCAAAATTTTACAAAATTGCACTCGTATACAACACAACTATTAACAAAGTAGAAATTTATAAACACAAGTTGCACTCGTCTGTACTGCGGAGTCACTAACCTCGGTGTTAAACTAAGCTGCATCATCAATTGTGTAGTACAAAATACTGCAATTAGATGTGATTCTTCAAAAAGTATAGCCAGATATCTTCCCGAAGGATCCCAGCACATATCTAAAATCGGTCCCCCAACTGACTCACCAGAAGGTAGTTCTACTTTTGTCACATCGAGAACTGGTTTTGCTTTACTTGTTTTAGCTCCTGTTGACAATAAAATTAATCTATATAGATAAATAAAATTGAAGTGTCTGTCTATATAGTCAAAATAAAAGCTTTTTACTAAACGCCAGTGTAAGTGGCGCTGCCGTCCTAATTGGATGTAAAATAAATAAATAAACGCATGTAGAGTTATATATATATATGGTACTTATAAGAAAAACTCATTTTTTTAAACTTTTGTTTGTCTATCTGTTTGTTCTGGCTAATCTCCGAAACGGCTGGACTTAATTTGACTGGCATAGTTGATGTTATAATATTTTTATTTTTTCATATTTTTCATATTTTGGTTTATAAAAAATAAGATCACTCTACATTGCTTTGCAGAAACATTTCATCTTCAGATTAAGTAGAAGCCATTTTTTATCAAGTATCATAGCAATATGTGTACAGAGTAAATATATCCACTACACGAGCTATGCTATGAGCACCACCATTAGTAGATGGTGGACCCGTTGAGACAGAAATTATATTAGGTAACTAAAAAAGAACAATAATTCCTCATTCAATTTTGCCTCTTTATTGTTATACATACATATACTTTATAAGTAGAATAAAACATTATTCATTGTACTTGGTTCACTTACCATTCAAAAGGCCAGTATTATTAAGCGCATACACCATAGGTTCACTCTTAGCGGCAAACAACACTATATCATTGGGTCCCCAACAGGCGGCCACCACACGGCAGCCCCGCGCGCACCACCGCTCGGGCGACCAGGATTGGGTGTCCCACATTCTAGAAATAAATATTAAAATATTTGAAATAGTTTATCAGTGTCTTCGGATAATATAATCGACTTTTTATTAGTTATAGAAAAATAATGATAGTATAAATCCATACTAATATAAATGTGAGAGTTTGTTAGAATGGATGGATGTTTGTTCTTTTACTGCTGAACAGATCTGGATGAAATTTGGCACAGAGATAGATAATAGTTTGGTTTGGTTTAGGATTATAGTTTATTCCAGAAAATGTAGTCCCCTTGGGATAGATTTGTTTTTGTCTAGGGACAAACCCGAAGCAAAGTGAGGGTAAGTTGCTAGTATTCAATAATAATTTAAAAAATAGACTGATTAAAATTGAAGATGGCCACAAATTGAAACTATTTATTGTTATATTTAAAAATTATTATTTTTTCAGTTTATGTACTGTTAAATAAAAATAGCAATTTTCAAACAACAAGGGAAAATATTTTGTTATTAAAAACAATTTTAAAACATTAATAATTAGAGTAAAATTTATAATTATGGCTAGTGATTGAACAAGTTTTACTTTTCATTTTTCTCTATACTAAAGTATAATTAAGAGTATAAAACTATTGAATGAACCTGAATATAATGGAAGATGTAGCAGCAAATATTTTGGTTGCTGAAAGGGACCATCTCGCAAACACAATTCCACCACCTGCCACTCTTCTTAATGGGATAGCTGTCTCCATAGATACATCCCATATAAGCATAGATGTGTCAGCGCCACAGCAACTTACAAGGAGGTCTCCATTTGGAGACCAGCTCACATCAGTGACTGGACTATGACCAGATCTGAAATAATTACCATTAAACGTAAAATAGCTGATAAGACAGAATGATTTTGAATTATATTTCTTAAGAAATGTAAAATCAATACTTATATTATAAAGAAGGAGAGTTTGTTTGTTTGAACACACTAATCTCAGGAACTACTAATCTGATTTAAAAAATTCTTTTTGCATTAGATAGTCCGTCCGTTTATTGACGAAGGCTATATACCTTATAATATATAGTCTATCTATTCCATGCTAACTGTTAAAACATACCTAGAGCCAAACCCGAGCAAAGCGAGGGTGGGTCACTAGTGTATATATAATCTACATTGATGAATCAATATAATAAAATCAGTATTTGCTATGTTGTTTTAATCCATCAATAACATAAATTTGTTCATATAGTATTTAATTAATGTTATTATTTAAAGAAAAATACACACCTTTTTAATACAACAGCATTACTCGAAGATGGTTTTGTAAACATAGAATTAGGGTCTACAGTCCATACTATTACACCTTGTTCACAACCAACGGCCAACTCTGATGCAGAATATGGTCTCCAACTTAAGGAAGACACATGGCCTTGAGCTTTACATTTCAAAGTTGACACAAAAGAGACTTCTGAACAGTACACTCTTACATTATCATCTGCTGAGGCTAAAGCTATTTTGGTAGTGTGAGGATGCCAGGCCAAGCATTTTACTGGTGCATTACACCAATTTCTCGTTCTTGAATACTTTGACACAATTTTGGGCCCTATATCTTTTAGATGTGGTTGCATAAAATATCTTAATGCTGTAAACAAATTCGCAACTTTCAATGCATATGATGCAGTTATAGCTACTGCTTTGCTCTCTCGATTCACGTTAGGGTCGGCGGCCACACTTAGAGCTTCTAAAAATCCTTGTTTGTACCAGACACTCGTTATTTTTTTGAGCAGATTATCTTCGACGTCCACATACACAGATATGTTCTCATCTGACAACCTATGGTGATGTAGGTCTTTGGTCACATTGATTTTTGGATGGCTTTTGATCTAAAACATAATATATATTTTATTAAACAAACGTAATGAACCACAAAGAATGAACATCATATCTAACCTTACCGAATTTGTAAACGTTGAGATATTTCCATATCTAATATTACCACAGCAATACACTTCGTTAATTTTACAAAATGCAGTTTCATCTGGGCCAGGTAAATCAGGAAATCCATTGAATATAGACATGTTTTATGTAAATAATAAATTCTTAGTTAAAGATTACCGGCAGACAAAACAAAGATTTCAAATTTGAAGCTGACGCCTGACAACGACAAGTTACTCCATCTGTCATTTGTCACTTTATACAGATCTTATACTAATTTTTCAGTTCTATTTTTAAGTGCGATATATTATGTTACCCTAATTATTAATTTTATTTATTAAAAATTTCATACTTTTAAGATGTTTTCTGTATTATATAATTTATATTTTTGTTCTTATATGTAAAAATTTTCAAGAAATTAAAGAAAGTGTATTATGTGGTAAAAGATTATTTAATGAAAATATTACCAAAAAAATAAAAAGATTTTATTTACTCACCTAAGTTCCAAAAACTTCAAGGAGCTACGATTGTAGCTAAAGTGAAGAAAGAAGAGATAGATAGCTACAAGTACAACTATTTTAATCCTATAAAGAACAAACTATCTCAAAGAACAAATAATATCTGACAAAGATGTTTATGAAATATTTCGCGTCCTCTCTTCGTTTCACGCCAATATTGATAAAATTAACAGATACCTAATTAGGTTGGTTTTACCGCTTGTAAAGGAATAATTATAGATTTCCGCAAACAGATTAATATTAGAAAAAAATATTTAAATATGTGAAAAATTCCCGAAATGATTAAGAAAGCCAAATCTGTTATCCGCGTAACAGTAATAGGTGTAATCAAAGAAAAAGAAACTTTTTCGGGTCATGTAATATTCACTAAAAATAATTTTAGATAACCGCTTTTTAGAAAAAACGATTTTTTCTAATATACCTTGTCCTCCACAGCATAAAAGATCGGCCCTTTCTATTTGTTATTTTTATATACGTGCGTTTATTATAAAGTAAGAATAAGGTACAAACTCTTTGGAATATTGATTAAATTTCGAAAAGGCAAAATAAAGATCATGGGTTCTCTTTTCTGGGATAGTAAAGGGGTTGTCATGATATAATATCTAGACCATGGAGCTACTGTTACGTTCTCTTTGTATGCAGAACAAATAAAAATTAGCGCAACGAAATTTGCGACAAATGGCGACGCAATTTAGAAAAAAAAATGTTTTATTCCATCAAGATAATGCCCCGGCTCACAGGTCCGCTGTTGCTATGGCTGCAATTTGAGATGCTGGCTTTTAAATACTTGAGCATCCATATTCACCCGACCGTGCCCCTAGTGATTTCTATCTATTTCCAAGGTTGGAGGAGTCTCTGAGAGGATAGAGATTCGAAGATGTCGAAGCAGTAGTCTCGGCAGTACAGGAATTTTTAGGTGCTCAGGATGACGAGTTTTCTAAGAAAGGAATTTTGAGCTTAGAAAAAGGATAATCCAAGTGTATTATGCTGAAATGCGACTATATCGATAAATAAAATAAATTTTTTATTGAATGCGCCTCGTATTTTAAGTATTTTATATTTTTAAAGTAAAAGAAACGTTTAAGTAACGTATTTTCTTCAAGTTAAATTAAAGAATTTAAGTTAATAAATACTGAAATTAATGCTATAGATTATTTACATTTTGCATAATAAAGCCATAAAAGGAATTACAAGAATCTTCGTCTGCATTTTCTTACTGTTACGAATTTGAAGCTCAAAGATAAAAGGTTTTGCTTGCGTTTCAAGGTATAATAATGTGCTTGAGAAAATTTACAGCGGGTCGGAGAGATTTATTTGGCGTATAAGGTGACATACGGTAATTGATTTGCTACCCCTACACATGGGGACTTTTTTAAACATTTAAGGCGCCTACATGCGATTTGACTTAATCTATCTTTATACATATATGATATGTAAATTAGTTTATTTAGATTGATACATAATGATTGAATATTATTAAATTACATACTCGTAATAATTTAAAATTTATAGTTAATGGAAAATGTAGTAGATGGTTATTAAAATTTTTATTAGTTAGGTACTTATTGTAAGGTTATGTAGGTACAATTTTTTCCTATATATAAAATTTTACCCTATATATGTAGGGTACATATATCTAATTGAACGCGACTTCAATAATTTTTAATCTTGGTAAAGTACTAATATAATTAATAAACTCGACCGTCTGTGAATATGCTAGATAGTGTATACTTGATGGATAATCTTTCAATAATAATCAATTAAATATTGCTTTTTGGGATATTTTTTTTGTATCTTTTTGTTAATTTTACACGAACTTCAATAACAGGTCGTATATATTTACGTCTAATGCCATCTATTGATATTTATTAGAACTAATTTTTCTTTATTCTTATTATTATTAGTGTAATATAATATATTAGTGTAATAGAATACCATTTCCGGCCGGAAGCTTTTATCACTAGGTCCTTCACGATCTGTTTATTTTTATTTAATCTGGGAAAATAAGTTATTTACATGAAATATATTTACGAAAGAAAAGATATATACACACACACACACATTTATATATATATATACATATATATATATATATATACTATTTATATATATATATATACATATATATATATATATATATATATATATATATATATATATACTATTTATAACAATGTTCGTCAAAAAATACTTATACAAAACCATGGTTAATTTCATTACTCTGTTTTATTTTAAAGAAATCATACTCTTTTCTTTCTAAGAACCATTTACATAATTATTATAATATAACGTAACGTACTCAGGATTTTTTTTAAGTTGTTCCATGTAAGGTGAAAAGAAATATTAAATTTCTTATTATATACACTCTGTAATTTTCCACAACATGTAAACCAAGAGTTCTTAAGCGACCGTACAATATTGAAGTTAATTGAAAATTAACTAGACGTTTAACGGAAAATTCACAGTTAAGTATGTTGGTTTATATAAAACCTTACCTTTTTCTTTGATTATAAATAAAAATGCAGTTTATAATTTTTTTAATGTCATTTATTTTTTTGCAAGTAAAATGTTTAGATACGCAAATGTTTGTGTCCATGGAGGTTGATTCATTTACTCCTCTTTTGAATGATAAGATTGAAAATTTTTACAATATAAAGGTAACATTTATGCATTTAATTTTCATATTCTTGTTCTAACATAGACGGAACAATAGGTAGATAAATACTGGTGGCCTTTCATGGAACAATTCTATGTAATTCTATGGACGAATCCTATGAAATTTTTGAAATTGGTGTGAAAGAGACTAACGTGATGAGATAACACCATGGATATAATATTATTAAGAACTGATTTCCTTTAGTGTTTTAAACACATCAGAGACCGAGCCGAGTTTCGCTCGAATATTTTTCTTAAAATGTCATGTTCATGTGGACAATAACTTTTTGGAGTTAATTTTTTAAATTAATGTCAATGTCCTTACTTAGTGTAAAATAGTAAAAGTACGGCTAGATATTTATTTAATTAAGATTCATTTATAATATTAAAAAAAAGCAACAAAAGGACGGACATACAAATGACAAAAACTCGAAGTTATCTTAACTTTTGTTTATTTTATAAGTCAAGATGGTACCTATGTTTCGAAATAAAATTTTATATACAGAGTTATGACTTAATATCACTAGGTAATTAATAAATTGCGTAGGTATATTTATTATATCTTTTCAGATTCATTGTTACATAAACTTTGTAAATGAAACCAAAGTACAAGACTGCTTTAGAAAACAATTCCAATTATAATATATTTGCAAATTTATATTTGTTATTTAGTTTTTTTTCATACAGCATAGGCCAAAGAGGGGATGTCTGAAAAAGTCAATTTTTTCACAGTAATGGCTTCATAGATATTATAGTGATAAAGGCGACATAAAAATGTTTTTCCCTGTCATTAGCGTAAATATTAAAACTTTACGACGCCTATGTTATAAAACTTACTTTTAAATTAAGTTTAACTATAAAGTTAGGTTATGAATAAAGCGTGGATTGCTGGTATAGTTAATAAATTTATATTTGCAGCTAGATTTTGATAATAATGAAAAAGATAGACTGTACTTAAGGACCAGGAAAAGAGGCATCTACCCTCTAGTGGAAGTCGGCCCCGGTTCTTTCAAGGTCGAGTATGAGAAGAAAACTCCGGATTTTTTAGTACACAAATTTCAAAAGTTATTGGAGCTTAAGAAAAAATACGATGCGGAATAAAATCTTAGAGCATAAATACATATTTTATTGTACTCATAACGTAGGCTATTTTTTGTATAATATTTTTTTTTATTTACGCGAATATTTGATATTTTAAATAAAACTATCTTTTCACATTTTTTTGGCGGATTTATTTTGATGTTTGTTTCCCGACGTTTCGAATGCTTTACAGCAATCATGGTCACGAGAGAGACGAACGAAAAATTGAATCAAATTAAATCCGCGAAAAAAATCAAAAAGATAGTTTTATTTAATGTATTTTTGTGTATACATACATATACAGACATAGTAACTATTAAAGACCTATATATTAAATTACTTACTTGCCTATGACATCGAATCGGTAGTAATTATTATTAAAAGTCCTGCGATTTTCGCGACCGTTACGATGTTAGAGCTTCAAGCATTTCTTATTCTCTTAATGGCATACGAATTTGAAGACAAAACGGTAAAGGAAAATAAATATTTTTATCAAAATTAGCAAATATAGATTCGACTAGAACAATTAAATGGTAATGACTCTTCAGATTGCTTAAATAGTCATTTGGCGCAGTGACACCTGCTAATAGATTTAGGCTGGAAATAGATTTTTATAAATAAAACGTTGAATTATTCTAACTTTATCGTTTTTGGACGATCTTTAAACTATTTATGTTACAAAAAACGTTACTAGATATACGAGGTAATCTCTATTCCACAAATATTGTTTTTGCCAAAAATATAGTCATCAAATCGTTAGATCTGTCCCTTCAATAAGGAATACTATGAATACCAATAATAAGGCCACCATATTACGGGAAACTCAAAAACAAAGTATAAAGTAAGTACTTTAAATAACCTGACAACGAAATTTGAATACATAAGTATATTTATATATTATTATTATTATCAGTTAAAGTCAGTTCAGTCAGTTTTCATTTATCATTTTCAAGTTGTAAAGTCCATCGAATATAAAAAAAAATGTTTTTTTTTCTCATTTGTTATATGTGTACGATACATTTGTTGACTTAAAGATATAAATATCAATAATATTATCACTGAATGCTTTAGATGTTAATTTTTTACTCTGATAACGTGATCTGTTTTATTTAAAAGTATAATATACATGTATAATATATGTATATCCCTCAAATAATGACTCTATATATATATATATATATATATATATATCCTTATCTATACACCCTATTACCTACATCCATTATGGGTTCGCACAACAACTCACAAAGTTTAATCGTAATTAGACCAATGTTTATCTATAGGTACATATAATAAAATTCTAACTAACTTAGTCGAATCTGTACATTAAATATTTTTTGGATACAGATGCCGAATCTATAGTTTTTAGAATTTTTGTCTGTCTGTCTGTCTTTTTTTGTCTGTCTGAGGACGCATGACGTGAAAAAAACTGGACATATTTTGATGAAATTAGATATGATGATATCCGGACATATAGGATACTTTTTACTACGGGAAAATATCTCATATCTAAAAATCTATATTATAAGGCATTGTAGGCAAATAAATATATATTCATTTTTATATATATTAGATGAAGCTCGGATTCTATTGAAATCAAAGGATATTTTTTCTATTACTTCTAATAAGCAGTTACGAGTACCTTTCTTTTATATACACGGTATCGACATTAAATAAAAAGGTTTATTAATTAGTAGTAGGTACTTAGAAAGATTATTTAGAGAGATATATATGTTCACCGTAACAATTTTTATTTTATTTTAGTGTTAACCTACCGATATGTTGACTTGGATAGTTAGTTTTCACCGAAGCAAATTTCATTAAAATCTGTTCAGTAGGTTACTCGTGATGCGATAACAGACAGAACGACAAAAATTCTAAAAACTATAAATTCGATCTCTGTATCGATAATAATGACTATTTCAATAAGGTTTTAAAAAAAAATATTTAATGTGCAGATTCGGCTCAGTTACAATTTTATTATACCTATGTATAGATGATAATAGTTATTTAAGCGAAGCACCATATTTCAGCATATTAATCCCTCCACGACCGCGGACACGGCATGTCAGCTTACAATAGATTTCTTAGAATTTTATTTAATTTCTTAAAAACTTCCCTGGAGGTGTTAAATACGTACATATTATAAATAAAAACACCCATGACTGAAGTACAAGCATTCGTGCTCATCACACAAATGAATGCCAGTGGGACACGAACCCGCGACCGCTGGCATAGCAAGTACGGTCACTACAAACTGAGCCAAACGTGTCTTCCAAACATAATTTGCTCATTCTTATAACACCTGCAGGTGAATTTCTATGAAATTAATAAACATTTCTAAGAAATCTATTGTTAACTGACACGCCGGCGCGGCGTGACCGCGCTCGTGGAGGGATTAATAGAATACTTTTAAGGCGACAAACTCTTATGTTCTTGACGCCCAAATAAGATTGACAATTTTATCTTTTTTCTATACTAATATTATAAAGAGGTAAAATTTGTGAGTTTGTGACGTTGTAGGGGGTAATCTCTGGATCTACTGAACCGATTTAGATGAAATTTGATACGAAGATAGTTTGAGACTCTTGGAAGGACATAGGATACTTTTTATCCCAGAAATCATGCCTTAAGGGGGTGAAAATGGGGATGAAAGTTTGTATTGGGAAGCAAGCTATTATTTAATAAAATTTTAAGCTTTATAGTATTTCAAAGCGAAAAAGAGTTTTTACGGAATTTGATATGAAATATTATACAAAACCATGGAAAGGCCCATTATATTAACTGTTTATTTAAAAGAAATTGTGTTCTTTCAATGTTCAACCAAAGAAAAACCAGCAGCATAACTTTTACCATTATAATATTACCTCTTGTCTTATTTATAAGTAAGGTAAATTAAAATATAGATATTTTTTGATACATTTTCTGTAGTTTCCCATTACATGTAAACTAATTATGTCGTGAGCGGCCGTAACATATTGAAGTTAATTATCTAGTTGTTTCACAGAACTTTTATATTTATCATTAATTATTACATTGTTCATAATTAAAATGCAGACCTTATTTTTTTGAAGTGAAAACTTCTATATGCAGGTTTGGATGGGGAGTAAATTCTGCATGAAGTCGTCATCGACATGGTCACGTGTCGTGTTAACGCCCAACTAACATGTGTACTAATATTATAAAGAGAATAACAAAAAAAATAAAAACCGACTTCAAACAAAAGCACTAAAAAGTAAAAAATAACTGATTGGTAGTTTTCATTTACTATACATACCTAATCAAATATTTTCGAAGTCGGTGTGCTTTGCTTTGTATGGGACTGGCACCAATTTCGATTTTTTATTTTTTCCTTTTTAGTATAGACAGTAGTAGCAAAGTAAGAATTCTAACGTGTTAGGCTTGTCAAATCAAACAAAATAAGCCCAAACTCAAAGTATCTACTATTAGCCGTTGAAGAGTTCCACCTATCCCCTTCTGGCCTTACCATCAGATCAGGTCAACAATACCGAACCACTGTATTATCAACGGAAATAGAAACACTTGCAAAGTTTCAAGTCAATATGACAATTAGAAATAGGTTAAATTTATCATTAGCTATTTTTCCACCCTTAGGGGTGGTATTTTTTTTTTGAAATTTAAATGGGACCAATCTGGAAGTATACACTATCAAACAACACAAAAATTGTCCAAATCGGTTAATAAATGACGGAGTTCTGAGGTAACAAACATAAAAAAAGCAGTCGAATTGAGAACCTCCTCCATTTTGAAGTCGATTGAAAATAAATGTTTTTTTTTGTATGTTTGTTTGTAATGGATAAACTAAAAATCCACTGAACCGATTTAGATGGTATGAAGATAGTAATAGAACACTCATAATTTAGTTTTAATTTTTTACTTTTTAGTGCTTTTGTTTGAAGTCGGTTTTTATTTTTTTGTTAAAAAGTTTTTATATATTATAGTGCCCAATCAGTTTCCGAGTTCAAGTAGCACTGATAGGGTATCAATTATTTTTTGTTAACACATAAGTGACCACTTATCTACGGTCAATACTATATAACCTTTGTTCGCTTAATCAACCCCAATTTTGCTTCTGTTGACGTACTAAAAATAATATTTATTAGCCCAGTCGAATTAGCTCAAAAAAGGAGCAAACATCGAGTTGATATTTACAAAATAAAGTCATATTTTTGTTAAAAAATTATAAAAATATGTAAAAAATGAACAAAAAAAATTCGTTTCGTTCGAAAAAACAGTCGATTTTTTCCTGAGATATTTGAATTTCAATGAAAAAGGATCCTTTTCTTTTTTATCATCAATATCTTAGCATTTAATGGATGCACAGTATATTAAAGTGTAATTTTATAAATTTAAGTCATATTTCTACAAGGATATATCAAAGTTTAAAAAAAACTTTTTTATTTTTAATTTAAATGGTTTTTAATGAATGATGTAATCATACTACTATTATTTATTACATACACATTCGCGTTGAAGCAGCTGGGTACTTCACAATATACCAATACAATAAAATATATTCTTATTATACGTGAGTATCAATTAATACTTAGTAATTCGACACATTTACATCAACGAAGTATCCCGCGACGGAATATATGTATGTTTTGCTCAATAATATATTTTTAACTAGCTTTGCCCGCGGCTCCGCCCGCGTTCAGATGACCAAACACCAAATTCTTAGATTTTACATATTACTACACTCTTACACTGCAGTTTTTGTGTTTTCTCTTTTATTTCAATAAGATTTTCCAAAAAATATTTAATGTACAGATTCGGATTAGTTACAATTTTATTATATGTATAGATTTTTTACTTAAATTGTTCAAGTAGGAATCTCAAAATAGAGTGTAGAAATTTATTATATTATATACGTACATCTTGTCCCATAAAAGACTTATTCACTCTTAGAAGACGAAAGCTTGGCGGTATTAGTATGTCCTTATTTCTAGTATTTATTTTGTATCTATCACTGTTTCTTAAATTACAACGGATGTTTT